AAATCGTGTGGGCAGCAGGAATACAAGTAACTGATGTGGCTTTATTTTTAGTAAATCACCAAAAGAAGATACTTCCCTAAGAAGAGCCAGACATGCTGCAGGAAAGAAGGGGGAAAGTCGTGAAAAGGAAAGGTTGCTCCAAGTTTTCTTGCTACCTTACCTGATGTGACTATTTATAGATTGCCTTAACCTTTACAAAAACAAAAGAAGAAAGAAAACGATTAAGTGTGGATGGAAAAAGAAAGCCAAAAATATAAGATGTCATTTCAGACCACAAAATTACTACTTTTGAAAAAAGCAAGTGAAGGTTTCATTGATTTATAAGAAATGAATAACAAGCAACTAATGCCTTTTAAAGAATGTCTACTCTGCCATCCTTCATTCTTCAGTCCAAATGCAACTTTGATTTATCCTTTTTTTTCTCTCCTCTGTGATACCTGACTTTTAGTCTTTTAGTCTCTAGAAAGGAAAGGTTTTTTTTTGTTTGTTTGTTTTTCAGAAAATAAAAGATATGCTGGACTCAGCAGCACATATACAAAAATTGAAACAATACTGTAAAGATTATTATAGCCGTTGAGCAAGGATGGTGCTCAAAGCTATAAAGTATTCCATAAAAGAAAGCGCGTAAACCTATCCAAAATGTTAATATATGCTGAGAGAATTATGTTGAGTGAATGAACGTTCTCTTTACTTGTGATCCATGAATAATCTGTAGAGGCCTTGTGAATATGTAACACTTGGTGCAGGCATATGTGTAGAATATCTATTTATCTGTCAGCTTCTACAAAGTTAACAGATGTGATCTCCCTCTGCTTATGTTCATACAATTTTGAGTAGTCCCAGAGTTAGTGGCAGAAGATCCTATAGCTTTGAATATACAAAGATGTCTTTGTGGATTTGTCTAGTTCACATCTTCTAGTTCATGCTGGTGTCCCTACAAAATAATTAAATAAGAATGTATTAGATTTTTGCTTGATTTGTATGAAACAAACGGGTTCTAATCACCAAAACAGGTGACTTTGCTCCTAGAGTTAGTTATTCAAAGACTCTTTGAATGCAGCAAACAAGACTGGGTTTCTTTAATGAAGGAACATGCTACACTTCCTGAAACCTACCCAGTTAAGCTTTCTCACATGAGACTGAAAAGGGATTATAGCTTTCAAGCAGGGTAACTGGATTAGATACAAAGAAGTAAGCAGATAATGGGGCATGACTATATACTGGCTCTGAACTGGGTCTCATTTTAAGAAACTCAAGGCTTAAGGACGGTAGATCATCAGTGGAGCTTAGCTCAGTTGCATCTAACAGTGGGTCTGTTGGATTCTTCAGTCCAGACGGTGGTTATTTCCCCAGTTCTGAGATGCATAATTGGTATGGAAATACTCAAAAACTGGCTCAGTTTCTCTGAACTATGAAGTATCCTATCTTAATATTTAAGGTCATCTGGAAGCCACTGGAACAAACTTCCTAATGGAAGAAGTAAGGCAAAGCCATGATCACATGCCTGCAAAGATAGTAGAGATTAGCACTACCTGTAGTGAGTGCTGCAGGGGTGTATTTTCTTAGAGACTGGTATGGTGATTTCTACCATACCCCATTATAGCTCATCTTGTTCAATATAGAAAGTATATGGATGTTGAAGTGCAGCCATGTCATGAGTACAGCGATGTTGGCTAATTTCTAGAGTAAACCAAACCAGTACCTCCCCTTTACCTAGTGTGCCGCTAAAATTACTACCAAAATATATTTTTAACAAATTCTCCCTTTTCTTAGGTTACTCTAAGTAAATTTTGTATCATTTCAGTAGCTTAAAATATTTCATTCTTTTTAGTGACAACCCTGTTTTAGATTCTTGATATGTACTTTAATCTAAAGCATACATCTCTATATCATGTTTTACTTAGCAGTAATAATAACTCATTAAGGCCTCCCAGAGGGCCTGCTCTCCTAACTAGGTATTCAACGTTCTTCCTTTAGATGCCCCGGGTTTATTGATGACTCCCTTCCTTAAACTCTGTACCACATACAGTCTGCACCTCAGAATTTCAGGCTGTGGGTTGATTGTGTTTTGAATTGTTCATTATCACTCCATGTGCTTTGGTTCATCAACCTTTTCTGATGGCTGTTCCCAAACATTTCATGTCATTTTTCTCCTGCCTCAAGATTCACCCCTCTCTGATTTTCTGCAATGCTGCCCAAGTGAGTTGTATAAAACCTAAAAATCTCAGACCTTAACTGGACTCTGAGTAACTTCTAATTCTTTTGCAATGAATCCTGTAAACAACAACTTCTCATTCCTTTATTACTGATGTTAGAACTATAACTGCTGCCTTCAATAGAGAGAAAATGAAAGGATGTGGATTTGAAACAAGGAAAATTAATGTAGCAGTAGAAAAGATAATTGAGACTATGTTCTACTTTAAAATTCAATTTAAACTAGACACAGAGCCCTGGATAATGTAGTGTTTGGTCCTCTCTTTGCAGAGTGTTACATATGCAAGTGCAGATTTCCTTAAATGAAAAATCTGTGTGCCATCAGTTACAAAATAACCTTATTTATACATATTTCCTTAGTCACTGTTACAGTGCTGTGAAGGATACCATAACCAAGGCAATTCTCGTAAAAGAAGACATTTAATTGGAGGACTGCCCACAGTTCAGAGGGTGTGTCCATTATCATTTACATAGGGAATGTGGCATAATGTAGTGGTAACTGAGAGCTACATCCTGATCTGCAGGCAGAAAGACACTAGACCTGGCATGAGCTTTTGAGCTTTTGAGGGTTCAAAGGTCATCCCAAGGGACACACTTCTCTGACAAGGCCATACCTATTCCAACAGGGCCATTCCTCCTAATCCTTAAGTCCTTTCAAATAGTCCCACTTCCTGATGATTAACCTTTCTAATATATGAGGTTAAGGGTGCCATTTTTAGTATAAATAGCTTATTTACATAGTTTTAGTCTACAGAACCTAACTGCTTTCTTTAGAACAAGAGAGTTTACAAATGACCATATTGTTTCTTTTGTCAGACACTTCTTCAAGCAAGGCAGTGTATGTATATATGATCACATGCTTTTAGAATATTAAACAGTGGATATTAACATTTTATGTTTGTTTTACTCATTTATCAATAACTAGTGTTTTAAACCATGATTGGCCTCCTACTAAGATGTAAGTGATCAGGAGGAAGGAAAATTTTCAAAGACTCCCTTGAAAATTTATAAAAACAAGTTCTTTGTAGCATCTTTAACTCATCACACATCTTTCCACCAGATAAACTAAGTACATTGATTATTTTTCTTTTCCCAACATTTGTTTTGAGGCTGTAACAGTAGGACAGTTTATTGACTGACTTGATCCTCTGTACAATGAATGGTCTTATATTGTTTCTCCAGTAATCTACAAGTTACATCAAATTTGTGTATTACAGACATCCAAGAGACACAGCTACAGGGTGGCTCATGTGCATGGCTCGTGTCTAGGATTGACGAGAAGGCCAGGTTTCAACATATCTGAGCCTAGACTGTCCTCAATAAGGACATCTCAAGGCCTAACAAGATGCAGGCATTACCCGTGTTTCTCTTTATGCAGTTGGAGCAGGTGAACCCTATGGGGTGAATGGAGATACAGGCAGCTTGTCAACAGTCAGGCAGCTCTACTGTAGCTGTAACAGTATCTGTCTGGTCTCTCATCATCATACTGGGATACGGAACAGAGAAGGTAAGGAGGGAAATTATCAAAATATAGTTTTTAGTGTCCCGACGTTTTCATTTCCTCTTCAATACTTCTTAACAACAAAATGAACTTTCACAGCACTTCTGACCAACAGAGAAGCCAGGTTCCTGAGAAGCGCCAGACAGACTGGCTAGCAGTATTTCATGGTACGCTCCTCTGGGTGCCTTTGGTATTAGGTGAGCAGGTGCAGCAGGCCTTCCAGTCAGCTCTGTACTGGCTGGTTACTCTCAATTCTGATGGACAGGTACATCTGTACAGGGTGCAGCCTTCCAAACCTAATGAGTCAAATCAAACAATAGCACTTTGAGGAGGGTATGGGGGTGTAACCATTGAAGTTTGTCATTTTACATTCTGCTGAGGTGCCAGAGGTAAGAGGAAAGAGAAATGCCTTATCTCAACTTTCCTGTTGTCATCCCTGTGAACCAATCAAATGTAGCACAGATAAGGACTAGTATTTTGATACAGAGATTTATTTAAGCAAGATACAATAAACACAACAAGGAGGTCCCTGTTTTGTTTTGTTTTCTTTTATGAGAGATAACCTTACACTCAATGCATCTCACACCCAATGATGAGAACTCTTCCTGCAACACTAACTCTCAACCTCTATAGTGTGTGTGTGTGTGTGTGTGTGTGTGTGTGTGTGTGTGTGTATCGTGAGATAGTGAGTGTTTTGTTAAGTACACCTTTATGTAAGTACACCAAGGAGGTGAAGTGCCTGTGGAGGCCAGAAGAGGGCGTGGGGTCCCCTGGAAACAGCTACGTCTGGTTGTGAACCTCCATGTGAGTTCTGGATATGAATTTAGGTCCTTTGCAAGAGCAGTTAGCACCTCAAACCCCCCACCCATCGCTCCAACTCCGTTATATTTAAAGACACCATCAACAAAAAATATTGAATCTGAAGAGCAATTTTTTTTTTCCTTTTCCCCCAGGTCCTCCTGACTTTCTGATTAGCTTCCCTTTAGCCTGGTGCACCATCACAAGAAGTCAGGCAAGAACGTAGACGTCTGGGTTTAATTAACTTCTAGAACTCTAATTTACTGGAGTATTTTTAAGAGTCTCGGTAAGACAGGAGCTATATAGTGCAGGGTGCATAATTACGCGTGTTGATTATTAACTCAGCGTTTAACGAATGAAGCACACCTAAAACGTCAGCTGTGCGGGGGACTTTCAAGGTTCGGTCAAACCTTTTGCTGACAGACTTTCAATCTGCGCCTGCTCCGTTGGCATAGAAACGGCCCTTCCCTACTGCTCTGAAATGCGGATTTGGTTCTTGGATTGCGACAGTCGTAAATTGAGGTTTCCCGACGGCTTCCTCGCTTTACGATAGCTACAACTATGGCGGCGTTGGGTGGAAGGTTTGAAAGCGCTAGGAGTATCGAAGAGCGAAAAGAACAGACGCGAATTGCCCGGGCCGAAGTGTTACGCCAGGTACCTCCGCTGTGGAGGGTTTTCTTTCTTCCTTGTAAAGCCGAGGCTTGCACCGAGCGCTTCCTGCATTCTAGGCCAGCCCTTTTCCAGAGAATCCGTCTTTCGTTCTTGAAATGCTCTGGTTTTTTATCTTAGATCTCGGAAAGTTATTTAGAATTGTAGGACTTGACACTCCTGGGAAGCAGCCCACCTACGCCTCACGCCTCTCCTCACGTCGATATTCGTCACGCCAGGCTGCGGTCTGTTTTTCCCCTAAATGCTGTGTCCCGCTCCGTTTGCGCACTCTCTTTGCAGAGAGAGAGATGTTACTGGGTTCCTGAGCTTTTGCGTCAAATATTCTTGATATTTCTGCCGCCTGGATCGCTCGGTTTCGTTGTCTCTTTTGCCATTAAAAAAAAAAAATGAGCAACACATATCCCCCCTCCCTCCCCTGTCCCCTACTCTTCCAATTTACTTAGGAGATCTTGTCTATTTTCCCTTCCTAGGCGGATCTATGTATGTCTCTCCTAGGGTCCTCTAGGTTCTCAGGGCTTGTGGCCTGTAGGCTGGTTGTCCTTTGCTTTAAATCTGATATCCACTTATAAGTGAGTACATATTTGTCTTTCTGGGTCTGGGTTATCTCACTCAGGATGTTTTGTTTTGTTTTTTCTAGTTCCATCCATTTGCCTTCAGATTTCAAGATGTCATTTTTTTTGTTTGTTATGTTTTTCGGTTTTTTTTTTTTTGATTTCCAATGTCTAAATGTACCATATTTTCCTTATCCATTCTTTGGTTGAGGGGCATCTATGTTGATTCCAGGTTCTGGCTATTACAAATAATGCTACCATGAGCATAGTTGAGCAAATATCCTTGTGGTGTGAGTGTGGATTGCCCAGTTTCTATGAAGACACCAACTTTGTCGTAGTCCAAGTCGTTTCCTCCGATGTCTTGGAAAACACATTTGAATCCAATGGGCATTCTTCCTTTCTTTCAGTTCCATCCTCTACTGATTGAAACATTGTTTGGCATAAGAGACTCAGAATATGTGTCTCCCCAAAAAAGTTTGGGAACAGAATTCTTACTAATATTGACATGTATGAAATTTATAAAAATGGAAAAAGTAAACTATTGAATTATCTGATAAGTTTTTCCCGATTGTGACAGCACAAAGGGCAAATTTGCAGTTGAAAAACAATAGTGTTTCGTAATGATTTTTTTTGGTGGGTTTTTTTTAAGGGGAAAGACTTTTAATAAGTTTAAATGAATATAAAGAGTAGAAAAGACAGAAAGAATGAGTAATGGCCAGTCACACTTTACGGGAGTGAGTGAGCACCTAGTCTTGGACAAATAAACCATTGTGATTATTCATTGATCTCAAGGTAGGTATGATAATATTCTTCATTATTATCTGCCTGGTATTTCCAGAAGTTCTAGGAGGAAACTCTTTGTAAACTGTGATGAATTTTATAGGGATCTACATATGGGACCAAACTCAGCTTTGATATTTGAGAGGTACATGAGAAAGCAGAAGAAACTTCTTGGGAAAACCTTGCATTGTTTGGCATTTGTTGACTGTTGACTAGAAACTAGCAATATGATCCTTTCTTTTTAAGAAGCTTTTTTTTTCTTCTCAGACAAAATATTGGGGTACAGATATTGCCCGTTGAAGGCATGGAAAAAAGTCAGCTTTATAACTGTTGCAAAAGTCTAAAGAATTGTTACAGGGATGATGAAGGTTAAAGTGATTCCAAGTCATGTTTGAGACAGGGAGAAAGGAGGACATAGGCTGGTCCTGGACAGGAGACTATGTGCGATTCGTACCCAGATTTACTGAAGGCTTGTAGTCCCAAAGAAAAGGTATTGTTAGGATTAAAAAAAGTTTTCCAATACTAGTAGAAGCAAATTTATTGTCAAGAATAAACCATTTTATTAACTAGGAATCTTTGTATGAAAGTGCTACCAAGTTTTCTTTTTGTATTTGAAAAGCAGTTATATTAATTGTGAAATTGTCTTTTGTATCCTTTTGTTATAGGCCAAAAGTAATTTTGAAAAAGAACAAAGGCGTAAAGAACTTAGGCAACTTCGAGGTGAGGACACATGGATGCTACCTGATGTAAATGAGCGGATTGAACAGTTCTCACAGGTGAATAGTAACAGAGCTCTTTGACGTGATAATGGTAGGACTTGTTTTCTTGATCTTGTATTTTTAGAATGGGTCTTTCTATGTAGACCTGGGTAACCTGGAACTTGTTAGGTAGACCAGCCTAGCCTCAAAAGCACGGCAATCTGCCTTTCTCTGCCTACCAAGTGCTGGGATTAAAGGTACTAAAGACATGTGCCGCTATGCCTAGCTTATGTCTTTTCTTTTTAAAGCATAATTCAGTTAATATTGAGAAACAATTTTTTCTTCATGTTTCTGTGTTCTTTCTATCTCTGTTTCTCTCTGTCTCTCTCTCTCTCTCTGTGTGTGTGTGTGTGTGTGTGTGTGTGTGTAGGTCAAAGGATAACTTGCCTAAGTGAGTTCTCTCCTACCTCGTGGATTCTGGGGGGTTGAACTCTGGTGCTTAGTATTATTGAAATTTTTCTCCTTAGGCAATAAAATGTCTCTCTTGACCACAATTTCATCATGATGTGAAAAGATTTTATTATTTGTGTTGGCTGGTAGAGTTAGTTATAAATCTCTCAGCTATTTGTAGGAAGCTTCTTGATCTGAAAGTGCATGTTTTATGATTCATGTGTTTTTATTTAATTAATTAATTTGTTTTTAATCAAGCCTTCTTTTCTCTTTCTACAAGTTTTTAGCAGTTGGCTTCTGGCACATGTCCCCACAATTGATGCAGGGGTTTTTGTTGTTATCTGTTTGGTTTTTCATTGACTAATATTAATTATTTATATTTTTAGAGGACACTATGATATTTTGATCTGTGTACACGTTATAGAAAGATTTAGTCGAGTTTATACACCCTTCATGCACTCAGTTTTTTTTTTCTGGTGAGAATATTAAAATCTGTTGGCTTTCTTTAGTAATTTTTAGATGTTTAAAATGTATTCATAAATATGGTCCTGGCCCAGAACTGCCTATCACTAAAGCTTAATGGTTATATGCATATATCTGTATTTATTTGTTAGACTTGTCGCATACAGATAACTTAGCCAAAACTTTAATCATATCTTTTCTGGTAAGAAATCTGAGGTACTATGTTGATTAGTAATGCTTATCTTACAGAAAGTATGTTAAAGTGTTTTAGAAAATTTTATTATGTATGTATATGTGTGATCTTTGTTTCCTTTCGTAAAAGAGGTAAAGTTTCTTGGAGTGTGAATTTTTCTTTTCACTGAAAATGCATTCCTGTAAAATTAAACAAGACTAAATTCAGGTTATACTTGTTCAAAATCATTAGGAACACTCCGTAAAGAAAAAGAAGAAAAAGGACAAGCATTCAAAAAAAGTGAAGAAAGAGAAGAAAAAGAAGAGCAAGAAACAGAAATGTGAGAACAGGAGTGAGTCTACTGACAGTTCCTCGGTAAGCGAGCACTGAGCCCGAGCCCTGCAGCTGTGGAGACCGGTGGTCTTGAAGGAGTAATGTAGCGGACCTGATGGTGCATGGGACCTTAAGATATTACAACTTATGACAGAAAAAACGTCTACACGACATCCACTTGGAGGCCCCTAGGAAATACTGGCAATGTAGATTGTTGATTCTAGAAAATGGGATACCATTTGTTGTTCCCTGTTGGTTGGAGATGTGCAAGTGAACACCAACCCTGATGAGCCTCTGGGAAGGAGAGGAAACCACCACTTGTACGAAAGTGGTTGAGAAAGTATAAGGGCTGGGTCCCTTCTCCAGTTCTGTCTTCTGCAGCACACACACTTGTCCTTTGTTTTCTGACTGGCTCCACTCCATTGCTTCTGCTGTTCTTCATGGTCACCCATGGCACTGGCATTTCAGTGTGGTGCTCCCTCTCTGCAGCTGGGCTGCACTGTCACCAACAGCTTCCAGGAGACTCTTCATGGTGCCAGGCCTCAGCTCCTTGTATGACCCCTTCAGTCCTCGGCCGCCAACTGCCACTGAGACCGCACCTTCACCAATGGCCTTTCGTGGCCTCTCATAGTAGTGATAGACCAAAATCCATACCAATGCAAATTGCTCATTTCTGTTCCACTTTCCTTCCTAGCTTTTCATTTTATTTTTTGATGCAACTCATGAGTGGAAGAATGAATTTGGCTATTTCTTTTGGGCTCAAGCCAAAGTAGGATTTTTATGTTATTTCATGAGATTTTCCAGTATTGTTCTTGAAGGGGGAAAACAATGAAAGACCCTGCTAATTAGCTGAATTATTTCCACGTAATTCAGTATTTTATATAAGTATGCAAATTGTGAATGCCATGTATATGCTAAATGTTCTAGAGCTCTGAAGAGTGGGTTGAGGCTGTTCCCTCCCAGACACTTGGCAAAGAAAAGACCTGGAAAGTGAAAGACGAAAAGCCAGAAGAAGCATGTGGCAGCCATGTTATGCAGGTGAGCACCTACCTGAGTCAGAGCAAAATGGTGTCTAAGAACGGATGGGTATTAAACTTATGACTGTAAGTTCTTCAGGAGAATTATACTTGAGCAGTAGTTTATAAAGCTTCTCCAAAGAAATGTTGACTGCTGGTGTTCAGACCCGCCTTCTTCTGCTATGGAAAGTAGATGCTCATCTTTGCTGTAGCCCTTCAGAGCTCTCTCAGCTGTGGTTGTTGGCATTTCCTCTTTGCTGGGTTTACCTAATTGAGAAGTTGGAACCTCCTGTATGCATCTAGTTCAGCTGCAGCTTTTCTTTCTGTTTCCCTTATGTCACAATTTGCTCCGCGATACTTAAAGTTGAATACCAAATACATTTTGAGTTCCGGTTCATATGCCTAAGAAAGAATGCAGTTTGCCCGCTTAGCCACAGATGCAGGAAAAAGGTGAGCAGTAGCTAACATTTCATTGTATGCTCCAGACCCTGTGTTGGCTGCCTTTTATACTTATTTTGTTTACTCCTTAAAGCAAACTTGAAAGGTGAGTTCTTTACTCCACTTTTATAAGGGAGAGAATAAGGTGCAGCAAAAATGAGAAGCTCGTTGAGAGTGGCTAGCCACACAGTATTTGCTCCTGGCTAGTGCCTGCGGTCTCTGCTGTTAAGAAGGTCTTCAGCACAGACTGAAATGGCTTCATTCTTTTTAACAGCGGGATGAGTGGATGACTGTTGATTTTATGTCTGTTAAAACTGTGTCCTCATCATCGCTCAAAGCTGAAAAGGAAACCTTAAGGAAAACAGAGCAGGAAAAAGCCCAAGCGCTAGAGCAGGTAAGAGAACACTTTCAATGCTTTAATTTTTTAATTTTCCTTATTTGTAATACCATTTTTATTTGTAAAGTGTGTTTTTAGTGGTGTTTGATAACAGTGATAACTGAGGAATGTGAAACAATTTTTTAAAAAGTAAATTTCTTCTAGGAAAGCTGATTAAAAGTATACTAGGGGTTGAAAGATGTTTCAGCTGGTTAGAATATTGGATTTCAGCACCCAGATGGCAGCTGACAGGCATCTATAACTCCAATTCTAGAGGTTTATTGTCCTCCTTTGCCCTCTGTGGGCACTGCACACATACATACATACAGACAAATTACTTTACACATAAAATAAAAATAAATATGTATTTTTTGAGAAGTATACTAGATTTAGGCTGGAGAGATGGGTCAGTAGTTAAGAGCATATGCTGCTGCTTTCCCATAGGACCCAGGTTCAATTCCCAGAACCCACAGTGGGTGAATCATTGCTGTCTCTAACCCCAGCTTAAGGAGAGCCAATACTTCTGGCCTGGGCAGGCACTTGTACACATGTTCACATATTCACACCCAGGCACCGGCACATAAAATATCTTTTAAAAGACATACTAGCCGGGCGGTGGTGGCGCATGCCTTTAATCCCAGCACTCGGGAGGCAGAGGCAGGCGGATCTCTGTGAGTTCGAGGCTGGGCTGGACCGACAGCCTCCAAAACAATACAGAGAAACCCTGTCTCGTAAAAACCAAAAAAAGAAAAACTATAAAAGACATACTAGATGTGAAAATCTAGGTAAATGTAGTTGAGCAATTATTGTCTGTCACGTGACTGTCATGAATTACAGTTGAACCATCAACTGAGCCTTCTGTTTGTTACACTAATTAGTTAATCATAAGCATGGTTTCAAGATACCTAGAATGCCATAGAAAACATTAAACAAGCATGTTCTTGTTACTGTTTTCACTTTGATGTCAAGGAAACAATGGGGAATCCTTAGAGACCATAAAGTTTAGAATGCTTTATAATTTACCTTGAATATAATATATAACAACAAGTGAAAAATATGGCCAAGTGATTTTGAGAGTTCTGTGGTCAGTGTAGTTTTGGTTTTTCTCCCAGTCTAATTTTAAATGTAAGTATGATATACATGCTGGTTTGTAATCAAGCTGCTACTGGTGTGGAGCATTGGAGGGCAGGGATTTTGGGATGTCTTGTCTAAGTCTCTGAGTTAGATTCGAAGGCTCTGAAAAACAGTAGGTGTTCAATAAAGATACATTAGCATTAGATAGACGTTGCTACCTGCAAGTTACATAACATGTCTTAAGAATTTTAAATGATTTGTTGAGGCTTGTATATCAGACAGTTAGCCACCTCAAATTATTTAGTAGTCATTTCCATGGTGGATTGACTTTTACACTCTAACCTTTCAAAATGTTTTATTCTAGTCCAAACTACTAGAAAGAGAATTGAATCCTTACTGGAAGGATGGTGGTTCAGGTCTCCCATCAGAAAATTGTATACCAGTAGTCACTAAAGGTATCTTTATATTTTCTTTAAACTTATAGGCATTTCTCACATTCTAATAATGAAAGAAGTCAATATGATTAAAGTATGTTATATATATGTGTGAAAATGTCATAATGACATCTGCTATGTCATCCATTTCTGTGTATCCTTGAGAAGACTTATTTATTCATGTGCTTAGTAGACACTGGTTTATGGGGTTTTTCAATGAGCTCTTGTTTATCCTTTCTCCTGTTCTCTTTTTGGACTTTTCTGTTAGAATTTTTAAATTGAAAGGACCATTAAAGGTGGCTTTATTTAGTTGCCTTATGAAGATGCAAAAGTCCAGAGAAATAAATTATTTGTTTTTTTGATGTTACAGATACTTAGTAGTAGCAAAAACACTGAAATCTAGGTTTCTTGATGCTCAGTTTATTGGTTTTTTATGTACTAACTTGTTTGGTTATGTTTTGTTTATTACTGCATAATTTGTTAGAACCATGAAATTTTTAATTTTAAACTTACTAAAAAAATAGGTTTAGGATACAGTTATTTATTAAGTGTGGTAATACCATTGAATTTACTGTAGTTATTGGCAGACCTTTTCTTCAGCACAGAGAGTTAGAACCATGCGTATTCAGAGCTTTTGATTATAGTGTGCTTACAATTTTCCTGAGTACTAGTCATCAAAGACTTACTGATTAAATCTGAGGATGCTGCTGCAAATGAGGGCTTCTGTTTCCTTAAAATTAGCAGGTTGAGTGATTTCTCAGTGCTATATTAGTTTAATTTCTAGTGATAACACTAATAAGATTGTAAGTTTATTTTATCAACCACAGTTGATGATGCACAGATATTCCCAAAGTTAGGGTTCGTGTTGGGACTGAATTTGTTGGGTTTTTAATCTGGCTAGGTTCCCTTCACAGACAGCTGCATAGCGGAAGCAGTCTAGGCTTGAATCATGAAGTGTTTAGATCCTTAAAGAAAGGCCACATTTATTAGAAGAAATTGAGTAGTAAATGTTGAGATTTGAGTAAAGCAATACAGTTAATTTGAGTATAATTAAAATGTCTGTTTTGCTTTTTGTTCTGTCTTTAAACTTAAAAAATATTGTTACTACTTTAGTTATATATCCATGTGGAGTTGGGGTGTTATACAAATGTGAATGTAGGTGCCCATGCAGGCCAGATATGTCAGATCTGGAGCTACAGTTATAGACAGTTGTTAGTTGTGGGGACAACAGACCTTGGCCAGAGACCCTTCCCCATCAGCTGGGACCAGGCAGCTGTAAGACAATGTTTATTAAAAACATGTTTACTAAAAACAATACAATGCCCGGGGCAATAAGTTCCTGAAAAGGGCTTGCCCACAGGAACGCCCTGACCTCAACCTTTTCCAAAGACTAACCTCCTCTTCTGACCCACCCAAGTCAGTCTCTGGTGTCAGAGCAGAACCAGCCAGGGGTAAGGCAGGGAGCAGAAGCTTTTCTGGAGGGAAGCCTTTCTTGGGAAGTTTTCTTGAGCCTTTTTGGGGCCTGCTTAAAGTTTTCTTTACACCGTTGACTGGTCTCTGTGTCATCAATCCCGACATTCTCCACACATTCTCGGATACAGGCTGCTCAGTGGGCGCGGCAGTGAGTCACTGATGGGAGTGTGGGAACTCAACTCTTGGGTCATGTGATAGAGCAGCACATGCTGTTAAACACTGAGTCACTGCTGCACTCCTTCTTAAACCTCTGCATACATAGAGAAGTCCCTAAACCACAGATGAAACAGAGTGAAGATTGTCGTACAGTGTTATGGAAAGTCAGCACACAGTTGGAGAAGCAAGTCTAAACACCCTAGAAGTGTATTTATCCCCTTCTGGTAACTGGCACTGCAGGAGTAACCCCTGTCCTGTTTTCTAGCACCAAAGATGAGTTGTACAATTCACTTTTTTAATTGTTTTGTCCACATTTGAAGTTCTTCCATATTGTTATGAATGACTGTAGTTCATTCATTCTTGTTGCTGTATAATAAATAGTCCAATTAAAAATGGAACATGATCCCTGTGTCTTTTTCTGGTCATGGACATTTTCATGTTTGAGCTTTTGGTAGGTTGTTTTGTTATAAAGATTCTTATGCAGTCTCCAAGAGCCTCTGTGTGTTTCTTGGCCCTAGAGCTGGAGAGATCTAAAAGCAATCATCATTGGAGCAAAGGAAATCAAGAGCAGAGTTTTAATTTAAGTAATCAATTAAATTTCTTTGTATAGATTGAAAATGGGACATAATACACACACATACACACAGATGGTTCATTGAAGGCATTCAAATGTTCATAGTTGCTAATCATAACTAAGGTTTAACTTACTGACATCTTTTATAACTTCCTTATTTATTATTTGTGTTGCTTTCTCTGTACACATTTATTTCTTATATCTTGGAGTGCCATTCTCCTATATAGTTTTAAATAAATGCAATTGGAAGGTAAGGAATTGCCATAGAATAATGCTTTGGCTCAGCATGATGATACATGCTTTTCATTGAAGGATTTAGGAGACAGAGGCAGGCATATCTCTGTTAGTTAAAGGTCAGCCTGGGAGATCCAGGATATCTGGGGCTGCATAGTAAGACCTTGTTTCATTAAATAAGTAATCCTTAACTTCTTTCATTTTTCTATAACTTTCCTGTATTATATAATTTTATGCTTATTCTCTTAAATTGATAGTTACAGGTAGTTTTGTTTCTCTTTCCTTTTTTCATCTTGACAAGCCTTTTTAGCTTGCATAGGTTGGTATTTAAATGTGCTATTAATTGTTTATAACTTTTATTTTTTCAAGGAAAGTATTTAATTTTATACTTTAAAAGTGATAGAAACAGTAAATAATTGTATAATAACTGCCAAAAAATAATACTGATGCTTATTATTGGAATTTAGCTTCAAGAGTAGAGGATGGTGGATTAAGCTGGCTAAGAAAGTCTTATCGAAGAATGAAAGAACAAGCTCAAAAAGAAAACAGAAATTTTGAGGATATTGTAGCTGAAAAATATGGGGTAAGTATTTGTGTTTTAACTCCTTATATTGTTTTCATAGTTATTTGAAAAAATGTATGTCTTTGTTTTGAATAATGAAATGTTTTGAATCAAATTAATCTTATATTTATCTTCATTCTTTTAAGTAATTTCCTGCTTCTTATTATGTAGGGATACTGCTTTAAAATGTGCTTACACTTATTTATTTGTGTGCCCATACTCAGGAATGTACATATGCACAGGGCCATGTGGGTGTCAAGGGGACAACTAGGAGTCAGTCCTTTCCTTCTGTCAAGTTGTTGTCTTCCACATGTGGGTCCCAGGTATTGAATACAAGTCATCAGGTTGGTGGCAAGTGCCTTTAGCTGCTGAGTCACCTTACCAGCCCAGCCTTTATCTTTTTAAGATTAACATGTTGAGTGTAAAATCCAAGTGTTTAAAACTTAAAATGTACACGTTTAATATAAAAGTAGCATTTTTCTCTTTGGAAGAAAACGTCAGTAATACAGGGAGTCTCTGTAGATAAACATTGTTGACATTTTGGTCATCTCCAGAGTTTCATATTTTGTAGCATTTTGGCAATGTGACTATGCTTTGGCATACATGCTTAAAGCGATCTTGATGTCTTTTCTTTTCAGGTAATATGTTAACTACATGCCCTGTCTGTGAATGGATTCCCTCATGCATACTCTTTCCTACCCCGTTTCTGCAAAGATTTTTATTTTGAGTAGAATAGATATCTTACTCTATAAGTGTTTCCCCTATCCGCATCCTAAAGTCCCTCCTGATCAAGACAATCAGTTGTTTGGAATCCTCTATTTTTTTTTCATCCTTTTTATCTAGAAGCATTAAAGCATAGTTAAGAGGTTCTCTAGAATCAAATGTCCTGTGTCTATATATCTTTCTTTCTTCCTTCCTTCCTTCCCTCTTTCCTTCCTTCCTTCCTTCCTTTCTTCCTTTCTGTCTTTCTTTCCTTTAAAACATGTATCTGCTTACTATTGCTTCCCAAAATATAGGACATTTCTTGACAATTTGATTTTTAAGAATTTATTTCACTCAATATACCTGAACTTTTTTCCCATCATTTTACTTTTAAGCAGTTTTTCTTTTTCACAAGGATGTATATAGTTTTATCAGCATAACAACCTCTTCATTCTTACCAGCATGAATTAATTATAATGTTTTAAAAGTGGTATCTATGGTGTCTATATAACACTCTGTGGTACAGGACATTTGTTCTCAGTGCATCCCTTTTTGAAATATTTTAATTTATTATGCTTTTTAAAGTATTCTTGGTGTGTGATTTTTATGATTCATTTAACAGTGCATCATGACACAGTGGTATGTGGGAACAAAACATTTAACCTTTCTTAATTGTAGGTATGTTATTATTCTCTCTTATAGTCAATGGAAATATTTCAGTCAAAATTAAAAGAAGCTGAAAACATTGCACACAAAAGAGAAGACTGTGGGCGGGAACAGTGGAGGAAGCCGGCGTATGCAGATAGAACACAGTGTAGTCATGCGGGCGGCACTTCCGACTTAGTGAGATGTAAGAAGGGCTCAGAGGACAAACACTTTGCAACAGAGACTGCAAACAGCAGCAGCCGCAGCGGCGGCTGTAAGGTTAGTTGTCCTGAAACAGGGAAGAGGTCCGGATCTTTAGAAACATGTGAAAGAGAATCTGCCCTAAGACAAAGGCAAGAATCTTCTGGAAATTTGAGACCTAAATTCTTAAGACCCTCTGATGAGGATGAGCTGTCATTTCACAGCAAGAGGAGAAATTTTGAATCATCCACGTTATCTTCTACATTAGTGGATCAGACTCCTTTGCATTTTGATTTTCGAAAATCCACAGAGAACAGTGAGGAAAATTTGACATCCTGGAGCCTGTCTGGTAGGCGAAAAGACGACCAAAAGCATTCAGATCAAAGGCCGTCGGAAACCTGGAGCTGCAGTGCTGATCAGCACTCTCCAGGAGTCAGCAGAGAACACTTGCAGGCTGAGAGCTTCAAGACTGACCCACCAAGAACAGGACATCTGCAGGATGCAAAGTCAACATTTGCTGGGTATTTTATGTGTGTGTGTGTGTGTGTGTGTGTGTGTGTGTGTGTGTATGTGTATTTTTTTCATTTAGCTTCTTGAGTGGGATCAGAAAGGTTGGTTTTATCATAGGGGTAGCCCTGTTGGAGGTAGAAAAAAATTTGTTCAAAAGGTAAGGACTAACTTTCACTTAAACTATCATTAAGATAAGTTAGAGGGGGCTGGAGAGATGGCTCAGAGGTTAAGAGCACTCACTGGCTGCCCTTCCAGAGGTCTTAAGTTCAATTCCCAGCAACCACATGGTGGTTCACAGTCATCTATAATGAGATCTGGTACCCTCTTATGTGCAGGCATACATGCAGACAAACACTCTATACATAATAACTAAATCTTTAAAAAATATAGGTTAAAGGTCTGGGGAGATAGCTCAGATAGTTAGTGTAGCAGCGTGTGTCCATAATCCCATTGCTCCAGCAGAAAAATGGGAAATGGAAACTGGAGAAGCCACCAGACGCTCATGAGTCAGAAGCCCTTTGGAAACTGAAGGAGAAATCTTATTATAATGACTGGATAACCATAGCAAGAATTAGAAAAAGTCAATGTGTACAGTAACAAAAATGAGAGACCCTGTTTCAAACTACCTGAAAAGCAGCATCAACACTAAAGTATCATCTTTATTATTTTTTGAGCCTGTGACTATCTTATAGTAAAATATCTAATTGTGGGCTAAAGCTTTAAACTCATTATTTTTAGACACAAAATGTGTTTCTGCATATTTTTCTTTTGTTGGAAAAAATATATCACCTAGGCACTTTTAGGAGTCTGAAATCCTGAGTGATACTTAAAATGATTAGAACATATTCTGTCCTTAATTTAGAGTTTATGAATTTAATCAGAAACTAACACATTTACTGTATATAAGCTTTGCATGTCATCTTGCCAATTTTACATTAAAGCTCAGAAGGGCAAGGGGAAGATGCTGTGCTGAGAGACGAGAAGTTCTGTCCTACAGAAGTGGGTATACAAGAAAGGTGGCATTTGATTGAGAGTTTGGCATTCAGTGAGGAAGTTATTTCTTTCGTTTCCCAGAAGGATTTGTTAGCTTGTCTCTAGATTTTTCTCTTAACCATTTTTTTTAAAAGAGATTTCATCATTAGACTTTAAGCACAAATAATGAAGGACTTGTTGGCATATTCTGGGGTTTAGTAGTTAGTTGTCAGTGGCAAAGGCACGTGTAATTATCAAGTACTGGGGTGGGTACTTTGCTACCTACCCCTGCGACTGCTATAATTTTATACATTTCTACATTTCATTCTGGCAGTGTGAGCCACGGTGTTAATCCCTTTTTAATTAAGATGTATACTTCTTAATTCTATGTGTATGTTTGTGTCTCTGAAGATTTTATGTATGTGGACCTGATTGTATGTCTGTACACTATGTGTGTACAGGAGCCTGCAGAATTCAGAAGAGGGTGTCAGATCCCCTGGCAGTTACAGGCAGTTGTGAGCCGCCATGTGGGTGCCGGGAATTGAATTACATATTGTGCAAGGAACCAAGAGCTCAGTGGCTCTTGACTAAGGAGCCATCTCTCCTGGCCCTCCTTTTTGTGTAGACTTGGATAGGTTGACGTACTTGGCCAGTATATAAATCTGTCTAATGGCAGTCTGGATTTTGGACCCATGTCAGTCTGACTGGGAAACTCCTTTTCTCAGAACACTTTGGGCTTTCCTTCTTTTCAAGAAAGGAAGAGGCAAGTTACATCATAAAGATGTGACTGCAAGCACATGGATAGCTTATAGTAGAAAGTCAGGGTTGATTGGTTGTTGCAGGTGCTCCTTTTACTTAAGGAAGTGAGCATGAGCCTGTTTGTACATTGACATTTGATGTGTAGTTAATCTCTTTCCTTAGAGGAAGGGGATGCGTTGATGAATGGCTTCTGCCCTTCATTGTCATCCTGTCCCACAGAAGCTTGGTTATAAGACACCTTACTTTTTCAGTGACAGCTTGTGTAGAATTGTCCCATATCTGGATTTTAGTAAGCTTTTCTTGGGCTAATGGCTCAGGATTTGGGAACATTCTTCTTGCCTCAGCTCCTGGCTGGAGATATGGCTCACAACCAAAAATTATTTTCTTGTGTAGCAATTTTGAGATTGAAATAGATAAATTAGACATATATCTTTGGATATGAAAATCTAATGAGATATTAGGTACTTGGGAGGAGAAGTAGACCAGACAGAGCCAAAGGAAAGCAAGCAGTTTCTCATGGAGGGAGCAGCATATGTGAGAAGCAGACCTGGGAGTAGGTACATTTGCTGTGAACATAAACCACAGATATCCTTAGGAGGTGTGTGAGCTTTGGGGGACTACTTTGCATTAAATTGTGCTTTAGCAGGGTGTGAAATTAGTTGTCCACTTTGCATTATATATTCCTGAAGAATTCCTGGTATCTTTAACTTCTGTCTAAAGGACAAGAACAGCACATTTTCAAAGCAGAAATTTAACTGAATGGGAAATAATACAAATTGAGAAAATTGTGTTGAGTAGGAAGTAAAAAATGTATAGAGTTAAAACTGGGTTGCTGAAAGCCAGGCAGTGGTGGCGCACACCTTTAATCCCAGCCAGCACTCAGAAGCAGAGGCAGGTGGATCTGTGTGAGATGGAGGCCAGCCTGATCCACATGAGCTGGATCCAGGACAGCCTCCAAAGCCACAGAGAAACCATGTCTCGAAAAACAAAAAACAAAGCAAAACAAAACAAAAACTGGGTTGTTGAAAGTCAAAAAATTACATTCATTGCAATAAAATGATGTATTGTTTAATTTGAGAATTTTTTTTGTACAAAAGAGTACAACTAGTGGTACAAGCAGTAAGCACCCACAGAGGTAAAGAAACAGTTATGATATTCTCCTAATCATGAGTACAGCGCCCCCTGGTTTTCTTGATTGCTTTTTAAAACATAGGTTCAAAAGAACATACAGGAAAGGAAAAAAATCTTTCCTAGTGATTACTTCTAAGATATATATATTTAATTTAAGCTCTAGAATTTTACTCTTTGTGTTCACCTAATGTAAGACAAAATAGTTGTTGTAGCAAAGGGTAATGTAATGTCTTGAAAAACAAAATTCAAGTGGTATCTGTTGTCTCTTTTATGACAGAGAATTAGCTTGTACTCTCTCTTTCTCAGAAGTTGTTTATGTTTTGTTATACTTTGCTCAGAAGATATGTTAACAAAGTAATAGCTTAATTTCAATGAAGTGTGATAAAACCTTGAATCCAAGAAAACTAGTATATGAAAGATAAGTTCTTTTTATTAGCATATATCCATTGTGCAGAAGGATAGGTTTCATTGTGACATTTCCAGAAATGTGGATCTGCTCATGTCCACTAGATAGATCCTTTATACTTAGGATTCTGATGGTTCTGAGAATATGCTTTGCCTTACCTTTTCTTTGTTGCTCCTCTTTGGGAAAATTTGAAAGCCTTATAAGGTGTAATGAATGCATGATTGAGAAAGTGCTATGCACAACTTGTAAATTTTGGAATATGTGTGTGTGTATCGTGTGACATATTAGCCTCTGCAAGTTTCCTGGCTTTATGGTCTCTCCCTCCTGTCAACCCTCTCCATTTTCAGATCTGGCCGCTTTCTTTCTTTCTCTACACACATTTATATAAGTGGGAAATATACTGTGTACTTTTTGAGGGAGTCTGGCCTCTCTAACTGAGCATAGTTGTTTTTAGCTTCCTTTCAGCTTGTGAATATTAGTTCATTCCTTTTGATTGGTGGGTAAGATATCATTGGTTTGTAAACCACAGTCTGTCTATTCATTCCCTGTTGGTGGACTTTTAGATTGTTTCCTATTTTTAGCCATTAGCAACAAAGCATTTCTGTGCACTCATGTTTTCTTTTCTATAGCATAATTCCCAAGATATGAATCACTGGATCAAACAGTACTTGCACTTTGAATGTTAAGAAAATGTAAGATTGTTTCCTAGAATCACCATGCCATTTTGTGTTATTAACAGCAGTATTATAGAAGCATCATTTCCCCTATTTACTTTCAGACACTTGGCAGTGGGCATGCTTTTTAACCTGGTGAGTAGCTGTAGCCCACAGTTATTGTTTTTTGAAGCTCCATTATTAGATACACAGACATAGGGATTCCTATGTACTTTGATTGCTCAACCATTTTTTTTTTATGAAATGACCCTCTTTGTCCAGAATAGTATAATATCTTTGTGTTGTACAGTAATTTGTCTCATATTAACGTAGATACTTTGGCTTTCTTTTGACTAATGTTGACACAGTGTATCTTTCTTCCTTTTATATGTAACACATTAATATCTTTATATTTACAGAATTTTTTGGTTAATTAAAAATTCATAGGTAATACCTGCTTTTTTAATACAAGTATTTATATAATGTTATTGATATATAGGCTGAGTATCCTTTATCGCAGATGTTTGGGTCCTTTTTTAGTGTTTGGACTTTTATTTTACTTTGGAACATTTACACCTGCATATGTATCATAAGATATCTTGGGAAAAATATGCCTGTACATGAAATATGTTTTGTCCCATAAGATACCTGGTATATACATATGTGTATGTGTCTTGAAGGTAATTTTATATACTTTTAATAAGCCTATATTTTGAGTATGATTATTATGAGATCAAGTGTATGATATGAATGCTAAAATCTTCAGTCTTTTTCATATTTTCAAATTTCATATGCTTTGGTGGTTGGGATGCCCAAATACATTTAAAAAATCAGTTTTTCTTCTGTATTGTACTGTCCCATCGTCTGCACACTTCAACTTCCTTGAGCTGCTTCTTCATTTTCAATAAAGTTGGGAAATTTGAGCCTTTGTTCTTTATTTCCCTCCCCTTTCTTGAGGGACGTCCCCATATGATAGAGAACTTAAAATTGCCCTGCAGTCTTTTGATGCTCTTTTTAATTTTGTTTTGGTTTCATTCTGTATAGTCCTTTAGTAGTCTGGTTTTCTAAAAATCTTATTCAGTGTGGTATTTTTAATCCCTAGGTTGTAGTTTTCCTCAATAGAAGTTCATTTTGCATCTTGTTGTTGTTGTTGTTATTGTGTCTTTAGAGACAGTGTCTTATGCTGACACAGGCTAAGCTGGTCTTGAACAATCTATCATCTTGCCTTATCCTTCTGACTTTAGGTGTGCACCCACAAACCTGTCTAAAGCTGCTTTTTAATGCCTGTACCATTTCTTTTTGAATAGATTTATCTATTTATCCTAATAATTTATCCTAATTTATTTATTTATCCTAATACCTGAGTATGTTTTTTCTTACATCTGTGTCAATTCTGGGTGTTCTTTAATTGATGGAATTATCTTCTAAATATGAGTTATATTTTTGTATATCTGATATTTGGATACTAGATATAATGATGTTTACTTGTTGAATGCTACATTTTTCCTGTTTTTTATTGGTATATGAAGCTCATCCGTTTCATTCTAATGTATTTATATATTTAAATATTTTTGCACTTTGTTTTAGAATGTAATTAATATGAAACCATTTGCTCCTTCTGACTCTTAATTGTAACATTTTGTAATTTGGGCTTGGAGTAACATTTTAGTGTGCACGATATATTATTTTCTAAGCATTCTACCCAGTATTTCCTCACTTATATAAGTCTGATGTGTCTCTAATGGGACCAGACACTGTTATCAGAATTTCTCATAACAGTTCTTTAACCAGTAGAATCGTTTCCCTGAATACAGGTATTTCATTGCTAAATACTTCAGGGCAGCACTGAGGATATTCTCATAGCATAGCTTTCTCTTGGCAGTTTGTGCCATGAGCTGGGACTACTTTGGACTTGTGGGACTGTTACTATTCTTTGCTTAAGACTCATCCAGGCTCTTGCTGGGTTCACCCTCCTTGTTCTGTAGCCTCGACTCTGAAAGTTAAACTGGGGTTATCTGATATTGGCTGAAATTTTCTCTTATGTGAGACTTGTCTGACTTCACAAGTAATCTCAATTTTACATTATTTTTTCTTTCTAAGTAATTATGGACCAGGTTTACAAAAGAGTACACAATTGTAGCTTTTATTTGTTGAATCTGGGTAAATATACCATCCCAAGATTATGGTTCTAAGACGATTAAAAACTCATCAGATTTAATGTAGAATTTAAGATGTAGAAAACTATGGTCTGACATAAGTGCTTTTGTTTGTCTTGTTTTTAAAATGAGTATAGATTTTATTTATTCTTTCTGAGACAATGTCTCTTAGTGTAGCCCAGACTGGCCTCAAATTCACTATCCTCAAGCTGGTTTGTAACTCATGGCAGCTTCCAACTTTGGTCTACTCACTGTTGGGATTACATGTATGCACCACTACCCTGACTGAGTATTTAAAAATGAAAGTGTTAATTTGTATATTATTTATCTTACACTTAATAGTACTTTGCAGTTATTATTGTAACTGTAGTAGGTCATTTTTTTTTAATTTTTAAATTTTAATTAGAAACAGGGTTGCTTCACATGTCAATTCCAGGTCCCTCTCCCTTTCCCTCCCCTCCTCCCATGCCCCCCTCCCAATAGCTCCTCATTTCCCCAGGGAGGGTGAGGCCCTCCATGGGGAATGTCCATAGTCTGTCATTTCATCCAGGGCAGGGCCTAGACCCTCCCCCAAGAGTTCAGGGTGAGAGTGCATCTCTCATTGTTGGATGGGCACCCAAAGTCCATTTGCGTGCCCGGGATAAATACTGATCTACTTACTACCCAAGGCCCAATAGATTACCTAGGCCTCCTCACTGACACCCACATTCAGGGGGTCTTGATCAGTCCCATGCTGGATTCTCAGCCATCAGGTCAGATGTTTCTGGGGGTTAAACCAGCCCAGGCTTAACCGCTTTGCTCATCAGTCCTCCCTCTCTGTCACTGGATTTCTTGAGTTCAGCTCAGTGTTTAGCTGTGGAAGTCTGCCTCTGCTTCCATCAGCCATTGGATGAAGGTTCTGTTCTCCAGACTCTCTGGCCATGGGATTATAGGCTAGCACTCCCCAGATCTATGTCTAAAATCCATATATGAGAAAGTGCATGCCATGTTTCTCTTTTTGTGACTGGGTTACCTCACTCAGGAGATGGTTTCTTCTAGTGCCATCCATTTGCCTGCAAATTTCAGGATTCCATTGTTTTGGTTTTTTTTTTTCCACTGAGTAGTACTCCATTGTGTAAATGTACCACATTTTGTCTCTCAACTCTTCAGTTGAGGGGCATCTAGGTTGCTTCCAAGTTCTGGCTATTACAAATAATGCTGCTATGAACATAGTGGAACAGACATCTTTGTTGTATGAATGTGAATCTTTTGGATATATGCCTAAGAGTGGAGTTGCTGGGTCTTGTGGTAGGTTTATTCCCATTTTTCTGAGGAATCTCCATACTGATTTCCAAAGTGGAGGAGTGTTCCCCTCTCACCACAACCTCTCCAGCATAAATTGTCATTGGTGTTGATTTTAGCCATTCTGACGTAAAAGGTCATTCTTGGCTTTGTGACAGAATCTTGAAATGTAATTCACTCTGGAATGCTAGAGTGTTAGAGTTGTGATCTCCTATTGATTCTGAATGCTTTACTGGGGTCAGCTAAGGTAATGCATGATTTTGATTTCTGACTCGTGCTCTTGCTCTGTCCTGTCTCACCTGCAGTCCAGAGGCAGAGTCTACCAATATCTTGAGTGTTGATGAAAAGAACAAGTTGGGAGCCAGGATTATCAAAGCAGAGATGATGGGAAATATGGTAAGACCCCTATGTGCTGTTCATTGGAGAAGAATGAAATGTTAACCTTCACAGATATTTTTAGAAGCTTTAGCCATTTAGATGTGGCATCCTTTGAAGATACCTACTGCTTAAGAATTTCTAGAAATAGTACCCTTGTGGTTTCTCTACTGGAGAAATATATATTTTCTCTCTCTTATTAGATTTCTGAAATTTATGAAGAAAACATTTTATTTTTAAGCACTTTTCGACTGTATTCTTGCACTTGTAGTATCTGGTACATAGTTGGAGGAGTTAAAGATGTCTTTGTTTCATTTCCATTTTAACTTAATAAGAACGCTTATTAATTTCTTTTTGTAAAGATTTAATTTAAAAAAATTTTATTGGTATGTGTGGTGTGTGTATGCATGTGTTCGTGTTTGTGTCTACTAGGATGCCCAATGAGGCCAGGAAAAGGTGTTGGCTCCTCTGGAGTTATAGAGTTGTAGGTGGTTGGGAGCCATCTGAAGTATGTGCTAGGTATTGAAGTTTGGGCCTTTGTAAGAGCAGCAAATGCTATTTGCAGCCCAACAGTGCTTGTTACTTTCTTAAAATGAAATTTAAGAACCTAAAAACTTGGGGCATGTGAGATGGTTCAGTAGGTAAAGGAGTCTGTCACAAAGGCTGATGAGTTGCATTTGATCTTTGCAACCCACATAGTAGAAGTTGTCCCCTGACCTCCACACTTATGCTGTGATATATTCAACAGTAAATTTAAAATGTTTTGAAATGTTTTTGAGTTAAGATCAATTTGCATAAAATTAAATAGAAATATGGATAGTTTGGTAGGACCTACTCACTCATGTATTTATATACCTTATACTATATATATGTAATATATAACAATACATAATATACATATATAATCATGTTATAGTCATATACATGTATATATATGTACATACTAATTTGTGTTAACTTTTGTGCAGCAGAATAGCAAAGACAGAAATCCTTCTATCTTCTGTTTTAGTAAATTCATGGACTTGTTTTCAATTTCAAAGTAAATACTGTTTACACATTCTGTTCTAGTGTGCTATCAGTGCTCCTTTGCAGTACAAGAGGCAGCTAAGGAGGATCAATTTCTTCTTATTCTTTTATAGACTATGCATATAGTCTCTTTCTTTGAACATGGTTTTGCTAATCAGTGAAATACATTCCAAATTAGAAATAGTAATTATAATTACCAAGTAATTGTCATGAAAAAAAGTGAAGTTTAATATTTGAAAGCACAGAGGAATCAGTGGAAATAGTGGAATGCTTGCGTAGACGATGAAATCACGTTAAAAAGTACTTTGTTTTTCGTGGAAACAGGGCAGATTAACATGTTATTTTCTGTCAAATAAGTAATTTATCATTTCATGATTTACTGCTTGTTTTATATAAATTCACAGAGTTTTTAGAATAGTGAAATACAACTTTTGTGTAAATTTCTCATCAGAAATGAAGAAAATAATTTTTTGTCTTCTGATTGCTTCCTATGATAGATAACTGACGTTAGTATTGGATGTTTGTAATACCTAAGAAATTGTAAAAATGTAATTCTTGATGCTATGTAGTTTTTCTACTTTTCTGCCCCTGTCAAAGTATAGTTTCTTGAAATTATTCCTCTTAAAATAATGAACAAATGACCTCAGTACTGGAGAAATTTGTAACTGAAGAATGTTCATTAAAATTAATGTTGGTTGGTTATTGAACTTAGCTATTGACTGTAGGCATTTTTTAAATTGTTTTTGTTTTATAGCTTTGAAATATTGTGTAATGAGAAATTTAACATCACAGCTAGCCTATTTATTTTTCCTTTTGAAGGAATTAGCTGAACAGCTTAAAGCCCAACTTAAAGAGGCAAATAAATTTAAAGAAACCACGACACAGATATCAGCAAAAAGATCCGGGGTAGAGGTAAGTAATAAAAGTTTGTTTGGATGCATATTACTACTTAGTTTAATGTCATTATACTGCAACACTGATACTGTAATACTAGATGTAAATTTTACTAGCATTCCTTGATGAAAGCCTCATCCTCATGCTGAGAGAGAGAGAGAGAGAGAGACAGACAGACAGACAGAGAGAGAGAGAGAGAGAGAGAGAGACAGAGAGAGAGAGAGACAGAGAGAGAGAGAGAGAGACAGACCAGAGTTAGTAGTACCCAGATAGATCAGAGAGAGAGAGACAGAGAGAGAGAGAGAGACAGACAGAGAGAGAGAGACCAAGTCCAATTTGTATTACCCATATAATCATTGGAGCATGGTCAAATTCCCAGTGGCCAGCCCCCTTAAAGAAAACTGAGTGTTTCCTCAATAGAGGCCATCACCTTTGAAGAGCTATACTTCTGCATATTTTTCATAATTTTAAGGATTCTATTCAGTGGCTTCCTGTCTAGACTTTTTTGGGGAGGTCATCTATGCCACTGCAGAAGGAGTCTTCTTGTCTGTAATAGCCAGCAACAGCATGATCGTGGACTTCATACAGCATAATCCAAGGACATCCACATGGCCTCAGGCAGCAGCTCAGGCTGTGGACCTCAGCATGGCCTCTGAAGCAGCACAGATCAAAGACATCATCATGGTCCTTGGCCCCAGCATGGGCCATGAACACCAACATGGCCTCTGGGGCAATACAGGCCATGGTCCCTGGCAGAAGCAAGGCCCGTGGGCATCAGCATGGCTTCAGGCAGCAGCACAGACTACTGATGTCAACATTGCCTCAGCAGGAGCACAGAAACAGACATGCACACAGCCTCCAGTGAAGGCCCTAAAAAAACGTTGCCCAGATTGCAGCAGGGATCACATGCCTTAACTTGGTATCTGTAGGCAACATGGACCACAGACACCAGCATGGCCCACTGTGGCAGCACCATCATCTTTGTTCTCTTATTATCATCCTTTAGTAGTATTTGGATAAAACTTTTTGAACCGGGTCTATGAAATAGGCCTGGATTCTTAGCCATGTGGGAGGAGAAGCTGGGGATTTGGCAAGTTCAAGGTCAGTGTGGCATATGGAATGAACTCAAGGCCACCTTGCAACATTTAGTAAGACCATATCTCAGAATCTTAAAGGGGATGTTGGAGATACAGCTCATTGGTGGACTGTTTACTTAGTATTATTCATGAGGTCTTAGGCTCAACCCCTGTTATGCTCAATTAAAAACGGTAAGAGAACTATTTGAGGTTGCCTTAGTAGTTGAGTTATTAAAATACCAAAATGAGCTTTGGGTCTCCTCCCCCTGTTGTCTTTCCCATTGTGGTTACTTTACAGAGAGTGGTAAAGATCCAGGATTTTACATAACCCATAGTTCTGTATGAAAACTAGAGTCTTGTCTGTAATTTGTTGTTGTTAAGTGTGAACATTTAACATTTGAAGTATTTCAAATATTAACTAAACCTTCCCACAGCATGAAGCTGAAGAAGTGATTCTTGTTAGAACAGATGATTCTGGAAGAGCGTGGCCCGTGAACAGCACCAGAGAGAGCCTGTCTGTGAAAGCAGAAAGAAGGAAGAGACAAAGAGTATGTGTAGTTACATGTTCACTTGCTGATTCACAGCTCTTCTTTCTCTCTGGAGTTCCTTTTGCATTACACTAGTTTTTTTTTTTTTAATGAAAATACTGGAAAATAGCAAATTTTCACTTTAATTCTCAGTTACATCTTTTGTTTACCTTTTTCAAATGGCTAACAATTCAGCTGTGTCTTTTGAAGCGACTGAACATGGAAGGCTTACTGCAATTTTAATTTTAGTGTACATTTCTTTGACATCGTATTCAGTTTCTTTTGCGTATTTACCAAAGTCAACATAGAGAAGCTTGACCCCATAAACCTGTTATCTTTGTTAATATCGAGTTTTAGATCTGACAGTGGGGTGTTCATGCACAGTAATGTCTTAATTACATAGGGGCCATGAGCTTTTAAGTGTTGTATTTTCTTTTTTTCATTTTATTAATTAATTTTTTATTTAAATTAGAAACATTGATGCTTCACATGTCAATCACAGCTCCCTCACTCACCCCTCCTCCCTAGTCCCTCCACCATCCTTTGCAGGCCCCCATCCAATCACCACATCATTCCCCAGGGAGGGTGAGGCCCTCCTTGTGGGGGATCTCCAAAGTCTGTCATTTCATCCAGGGCAGGACCTAGGCCCTTCCCTGTGTGTCCAGGCTGAGAGAGCATCCCTCTATTTGGAATGGGCTCCCAAAGATCATTGATAAACCATGATAAACACTGATCTACTACCCAAGGCCCCAGTGATTTCTGTGGCCTCCTCACTGAGACTACATTCATGGAGTCTGGATTAGTCCCGTATTGGCCTCTCAGGCATCTGTCTGGGATTCAAGAGCACCCCCTTATCTGGTCTGCGTCTTTGTGGGTTTCACCATCATGGTCTTGACCCCTTTGATCATCACTCCTCCATCTCTGTCACTGGGTTCCAGGAGTTCAGTTCAGTGTTTAGCTGTGGGTGTCTGTCTCTGCTTCCATCAGTCACTGGATGAAGGTTTTAGGATGGCATATAAGGTAGTCATCAACCTTACCATCAAGTAGGGGCAATTAATGTAGTCTTTCCACTATTGCTTAGTTTGCCAGTTGGTGTTATCCTTGTAGATCTCTGGAGATCTCACTAGTGTCAGCTCTCTCCTCAAGCCTATAATGACTCAATCTCTCATCCTGCTCTCCTCTATTCTTACCTCAAGTCAACCTTCCTGCTCCCCCATACCTTTTTCTCAAGTCCTCTTATTCCCCTCTCTTTTTCCTAGCTCCCTCTCCCCACCCCTGATGTTCCCAATCTGCTCAGGAGATCTTTCCTCATTCCACTTCTCTGGGGTATCATGCATCTCTCTTGGGAACCTCCCTGTTTCCCAGACTTATTGGCACTGGGATTGTAGGTTGACACTCCCCTGATCCATGTCTAAAATCCATATATGAGTGAGTACATGCCATGTTTGTCTTTTTGTGTCTGGGATACCTTACTCAGGATGGTTTCCTCTAGTGTCATCCATTTGCCTGCAAATTTCAAGATTCCATTGTTTTTTTCTGCTGAGTAGTACTCCATTGTGTAAATGCACCACATTTTCTCTATCCACTCTTCAGTTGTGGGGCATTTAGGTTGTTTCCAGGATCTAGCTATTACATATAATGCTGCAATGAACATAGTGGAACAGACATCCTTGTGTGAATGGGCATCTTTTGGGTATATGTCTTAAGAGTGGAATTGCTGGGTCTTGTGGTAGACTGAGTCCCATTTTCCTGAGGAATCTCCATACTGATTTCTATAGTGGCTGTACGAGTTAGCACTCCCACCAGCAGTGGAGGAGTGTTCCTCTTTCGCCAGATCCTCTCCAGCACAAACTGTCATTGGTGATTTTGATTTTAGCCATTCTGACAGGAGTAAGATGATATCTCAGAGTTGCTTTGACTTGCATTTCCCTAATGGCTAATGATGTTCAACACTTTCTCAAGTGTCTCTCTGCTATTTTATACTCCTCTATTGAGAATTCTCTATTTAGTTCAGTCCCCATTTTTTAAATTGGGTCCTTTGGTGTTTTGGAGACTGGCTTATTGAGTTCTTTGTAAATTTTGGAGATCAGCCCTCTGTCAGATGTGGGGTTAGTGAATATCTTTTCCCAATCTGTGGGGTGTCTTTTTGTCTTCCTGATTGTGTCCTTTGCCTCACAGAAGGTCCCATTTATTAATTGTCGATCTCAGTGTTTGTGCTACTGGTGTTATGTTCAGGAAGCTGTCTCCTGTACCAATTTGCTCAAGGGTACCTCCCACTTTCTCTTCTAGTAGGTTCAGTGTGGCTGAATTTATGTTGAGGTCTTTGATCCATTTGGACTTAAGTTTTGTGCATGGCGATAGACATGTATCTGTCTGCAGTCTTCTACATGCCAATATCCAGTTATGCCAACACCATTTGTGGAAGATGCTATCTTTTTTCCATTGTATAATTTTAGCTTCTTTGTCGAAAACCAGGTGTTCATAGGTTTGTGGATTAATCTCAGGGCTTTCAATTCGATTCCATTGGTCTACCTGTCTATTTTTGTGCCAGTACCAGGCTGTTTTCAGAACTATAGCTCCACAATATAGATTGCAGTCAGGGATGGTGATGCCTCCTGACATTGATTTGTTGAGCAGGGTTGTCTTGGCTATTCTGGGTTTTTGGTTTTCCATATAATGTTAAGAATTGTTCTTTCAAGGTCTGTGAAGAATTGTGTTGGATTTTAATGGGGATTGCATTGAATCTGTAGATTGCTTTTGGCAGGATTGTCATTTTTACTACATTGATCCTACCTATCCAAGAGCATGGGAGATCTTTCCATTTCCTGGTGTCTTCTTTAATTTCTTTTTAAAGACTCAAAGTTCTTTCCATACAGGTCTTTCACTTGTTTAGTTAGTGTTATTCCCAGGTATCTTATTTTGTGTGTGGCAATTGTAAATGGTGATGTTTCTCTGATTTCTTTCTCAGACCTTTTATCATCTGTATATAGTAGGGCTACTGATTTTCTTGAGTTGATCTTGTAGCCTGCCACTTTGATGAAGGTGTTCATCAGCTGTAAGAGTTCCCTGGTAGAGTTCTTTGGGTCACTTATGTAAACTGTCATATCATCTGCAAATAGTGAAAGTTTGACCTCTTCCTTTACAATTTGTATCCCCTTGATCTCCTTTTGTTGTCTTATTGCTCTAGCTAGAACTTCCAGTACAATATTGAAGAGGTATGGGGAGGGGGGACAGCCTTGCCTCGTTCCTGATCTTAGAGGAATTGCCTTGAGTTTCTCTCCATTCAGTTTGATGTTGGCTGTTAGTTTGCTGTATATAGCTTTTATTGTGTTTAGGTATGTTCCTGTTATCCCAGATCTCTCCAAGACCTTTATCATGAAGGGGTGCTGGAGTTTTATCAAAGGCTTTTTCAGCATCTAGTGAGATGATCATGTGATTTTTGTTTCTCAGTTTGTTTATATGGTGGATTATATTGATGGATTTTCATATGTTGAACTATCCCTGCATCCCTGGAATGAAGCCTACTTGATCATGGTGGATGAGTTTTCTGATGTGTTCTTGGATCCGATTTGCCAGTATTTTATTGAATATTTTTGCATCAATGTTCATGAGGGAAATTGGTGTGAAGTTCTCTTTCTTAGTTGTGTCTTTGTGTGGCTTGGGTATCAATGTTATTGAAACCTCATAAAAAGAGTTTGACAAAGACCCTTCTGCTTCTATTGCATGGAATACTTTGAGGAGAATTGGTATAAGCTGTTCTTTGAATTTCTGGTAAAATTCTGCACTGAAGCCATCTGGCCCTGGGCTTGTTTTGGTTGGAAGGCTTTTGATGACTGTTGCCATTTCCTCGGGTGTTATAGGACTATTTAAATTGCTTATCTGTTCTTGATTTAATTTTGGTAAGTGATATTTATCCAGAAACTTGTCCATTTCCTTTAAATCTTCAAATTTTGTGGAGTACAGCTTTTCAAAATATGACCTGATGATTCTCTGGATTTTCTCACTGTCTGTTGTTATGTCTCCCTTTTCATTTCTGATTTTGTTAATTTGCATGTTCATACTCTGCTGTTTGGTAAGTGTGGACAAAGGTTTGTCTACCTTGTTGATTTTCTCAAAGAACCAACTCTTTGTTACATTGGTTCTTTGTATCATTTTCCCAGTTTCTACTTTATTGATTTCAGCCCTCAATTTAATTATTTCTTGGTTTGCTTCCTTTTATTCTAGAACTTTCAGTTGTGCTGTTAATTCTCTAGTTTGACTATTCTCCAGTTTCTTCATGTGGACACTTAGTGCTATGAACTTTCCTCCTAGCACTGCTTTCAAAGTGTCCCATAAGTTTGGGTATGTTGTGTCTTCATTCTCATTGAATTCTAGGAAGTCTTTAATTTCTTTTTTTATTTCTTCTTTGACCCAGGAGTGGTGCAATTGTATATTATTCAATTTTCATGAGTTTGCAGGGTTTCAAAGCTGCATTCTAGCTTTAAGGCATGATGGTCTGATAAGACACATGGAGTTATTCCAATTTTTTTGTACCTGTTGAGGTTTGCTGTGTTGCCAAGTATGTGGTCGATTTTTGAGAAGATTCTGTGGGGAGCTGAGAAGATGGTAAATTCTTTTGTGTTTGGATGGAGTGTTCTATAGCTGTCTATTAAACCCAATTGGGTCATAACATCTAATAGTTCCTTCATATCCTTGTTAGGTTTCCAATTTTTTTGTACCTGCTGAGGTTTGATATGTTGCCAAGTGTTGCACCTGCTGTGCGGCCTGCATCCGAGAATGTAGCGAGGTAGTCGGGATAGATGACACAGAGACCAGTCGGTTGCTTTAAGAAAACTTTATGCTTCCCAAGTCAGCTTAGGAGGAGACCCCAAGTCCGCTGAGGAGAGAAGTCAAGTCCGCTTAGGAGAGAGAGCTCTCCAAGAAAAAAGAGCTTCCCTCTTTAAGGACTTCTGCCATCCATCTACATACAATTCTTTCCAGACTTCTCACCCTCCTGGCTGGTGGTTTAATCTCCTGGCCCCAGAATCGGGGAGACACCGCAGGGGGGACAGGAAGAAGCATCTAGCCGTAGGGGATGTCAAAGTCATGGTGTTTCAGTGAGCAAGCCCTTATCTGAGCCCTATCAAGAGCTGAATTGTTTTCAGTAAACATTATCTCACAGCTGCCTGCTCCCAGGCCAAAGGGGAAGTGGGTCTCTGTTCAAGGTCTGGTGTCCCCACAGTCGAGTATGTGGTTGGTTTTTGAGAAAGTTCCATGTGGTGGTGAGAAGAAGGTATATTCTTTTTTATGTGGATGGAATGTTCTATAGATGTCTGTTAATCCCAATTGGGTTATAACTTCTATTAGACCCTTTGCTTCTTTGTTAAGGTTCTGTCTGGTATTCCTGTCTAGTGGTGAGAGTGGGGCTTTATATGTGACTTGAGTTTTAGTAATGTTTCTTTTACAAATGTAGATGCCTTTGTATTTGGAGCATAGATGTTCAGAATAGAAACTTCATCTTGGTGGATTTCTCCTGTGATGAGTATGTCATGACCCCCTTATCTCTTTTGATTGATTTTAAAGTCGAATTTGTTAGATATTAGGATTGCTACCTCTGCTTGTTTCTTGGGTCCATTTGATTGGAAAATCTTTTCCCAACCTTTAACTCTGAGGTAATGTATGTCTTTGAAGATGAGGTGTGTTTCTTGTATGCAGCAGAGGGATGAATTCTGTCTTCAAATCCATTCTGTTAACCTGTGTCTTTTTATGGGCGAGTTAAGACCATTAATATTGAGGGAAATTAATTACCTTTGATAGTTCATTCTTGTTTGTTTTTGAGTGGTTGTTGGTGGTGGAATTGCATGTGGATTTCCACCACTTTTTCTTTTCCTGTTTGTAAAGTGGGATTATCTATTGCCTATGTTTTTCTGGTTGTAGTTAATTTCCTTGGGTTGGAGTTTTCCTTCCAGAATTTTCTGTAGGGCTGTGTTAGTGGATATGTATTGTTTAAATCTGGTTTTGTCATGAGATATCCTGGTTTCTCCATCTATATTGATTGAAAGCTTTGCTGGGCATAGCAGTCTTGGGTGGCATCTGTGGTCTCTGAATGTCCAGGTCCTTCTGGCTTTCATAGTTTCCATGGAGAAGTCAGGTGTAATTCTGATAGGTTTGCCTTTATATGTAACTTGGCATTTTTCCCTAGCTGCTCTTAATGTTCTTTCTTTATTCTGTATGTTTGGGGTCTTGATTATTATGTGTCTAGGGGATTTGGGGGGGGCACTTTATTTGGTGCTCTGTAGGCTTCTTGTACCTTCATTGACATGTCTTTCTTTAGGTTGGGAAAGTTTCATTCTATTATTTTGTTGCATATGTTTTCTGGCCCTTTGAGGTGGGTTTCTTCACCTTCTTCTATACCTATTATTCTTAGGTTTCGTCTTTTCACTTTGTCTCAAAATTTGCTGGATATTTTCTGTTAGGGATTTATTTGACTTAAGATTTTCTTTGGTCGATGAATCTATTTCTCCTAGTGAATCGTCAACACCTGAGATTCTGTATTCCATCTCTTATATTCTGTTGGTTATGCTTGCATCTGTAGTTCCTGACCGTTTTCCCAGTTTTTTTTTAATTCCATCATTCCTTCAGACTGTTTTTTTTTATTATTTCTATTTTAGATTTCAGCCCTTGTACTGTTTGAATTGTTTCTTGAAATTTTTGCTTTGTCTTTTGTTCCATTTCTTGAATTTTTTGGATTGTTTTTTTCTTCCATCTCTTTAAGGGATTTTTCTCATACCCTCTTTGAGAGTGTCTATCATTTCCATGAAGTTGTTTTTGATGTCATTCTCTTCTGGTTCATTTGTGTTGGGGTGTTCCAGTCTTTTTGGTGTAGGGTCTCTGGACTCTGGCGGTGTCATATTGTTTTTTTCTATTGCTCCTTGTGTTTTTATATTGTCTCCTTCCCACTCGTTCTTGCATTGGGTTCCACAGGGTGCCTTTTCCTCTCCTGATGGGTGTGGGTCCTGGGCTCCCTTCTGGTGGGTGTAGGCAAGTTCACTGTTGTAGTAGCTCTCCACTTCCTCATCTCGTGGCTATAGAAATGCACTAGGATGCTGGGGTGCTTTGGATCCTAATTAAGTCTTTCAATAAATAGAAGTGAGATTGGTAGCCAGTGTAATGGGAAACTGATGAGATATGGAGAAAAATAAAAGTGTGAATATATAAAAAGACTGACTGACTAGGAATCCATAAACACATTGTCAGATGCCTTGGAAACTCTTTTAAGTTGCATACAACTGAACAAACTGAACAGTCTAAACAAGTAATTAAAGTCAGAGACAGACTCATTCAGACCTGGGATTTTTGTTTAAACTTAGGCCAGATATTGAGTATGTGGAGCCAGGGAAATCATGTCAAATATGGTTCAAGTTAGTGATGAAATAATAACAGTGTTAGAATAGATGATGGGACACTGGTTTTACTTATCTTAAAGAAGTTAATGAGTGGATTTTGTTTGGATACTGAAATGAGTGGTTGGACTATGGAGAAAATAGCACTTTGTGATTCTCATGTTGTTGTGGAACCAACTAAGAGGGAAACCCAGGGCTGAATTATGTGACCTCAGATTACCAGCTTTATTTTTGATAAAGCTGTTTGTAGAACAAATTAGTGATTATCAATGAGTATTTTATCAGTCTGGCAACTAGAATAACATGTCAAATTGGTAGCTTGGAGACTGAGACTCCCAAATGACTGGGTAGGTTCAACATCTGAGTTTACAGTGATGCTTTCTTATTTTGTTCTCATGTAGTAGAGAGCAGAAACAGAACAGGTGCTCTTATGTCTTTATAAGACACTAATCTTACTCACGGAGCTCCGCCTTATTAACCTGGTTACTTATTAACCTGTTAACTTCTCCAAAGTCCTGACTCCTCGCAATGTAGGAGTTAGGAAAGAGATACAAACAGTAGGCCATGATAGTTTGCCTCTGGTTTTGCTGTTGTTGTTTGTTTCCTTTTTAATGCTTATTTCCTGCTTGAATAATGGCACTCTTCCTTCCACCGTGGTAAGGGGTTTTAAGTACATGGACAGTAGAAGATGGGATAGGATGGTTATAGTCTTTTACCAAACTTGACAACCAGCTAATGGGTTGCTTCTTCCTGGGAATGAAGGCAGGAAAGGGGAAGAAATACAAAGAGTATCTCTGGTGGAAGGGACAATTGTGACATGTGGTGTTTTGTTTTGTTTACATTCATTACCAGAGTTATGGTACCATTGAAAACATCTGCAAACACTTTGTTATGTTCACTTTGTTGTAGGTTTCAACCCATGAGGATAAAGAAAGGATCCGATACTTTCCTGATGATGATCATCTGAGTCTTAATGATTTAATCAAGAATGAGAAAATGGGAACGGATGTTGATCAAAACAGACTTTTCATGAGGATGGCAACTAAGGTAAAAGAAAGTCCCAGCAAACCTTTGCGTTTTGAGAAACTGATTCATTCATCTAACAGAGATAATTGACATCGCCAGTCTTTAAATATTTGATTACATTGAACTTTGTGTAGTACATCAGAAAAACATTAAGGCAAAATTGTGTGATTTTTTCCCTCAATATTTTAATTAAAATTTTTTTCATAAAATATATTCTAATAAAAGTTCATCTTCTCCCAGATTTTCTCCACCTTCCCATCCATCTAACTCCATGCCCTCTTTATTTCTCTCTAAAACACAGACAAACCAGAGTACAATAAACAAACAAAGAAGCATGAGAGACATGCCTGCCCTCCCTCATACACACCCACCCTCCATAGAAACACAAAATCAAAAACTTTGATATAGAAAACAAAGACCAGTAAGGTTAAAAAATGCCAAATAAAGCATGATGAAACAAAAAGTCTCCAAAAATACCATTTGAGTTGGCATGGGGCATGGGTGGGTTAAGGCCATTAATATTGATTGCTCATTCTTCTTTGATTTGGAATGGTTGTTGTTGGTGGAATTATGTGTGGGATTCCACCCCTTTTTTCTTTTGGCTATTGGTAAAGTGGGATTACCTAATGCCTATGATTTTCTGGTTGTAGTTAACTTCCTTGGGTTGGAGTTTTCCTTCCAGAACTTTCTGTAGGGCTATGTTAGTGGATATGTATTGCTTGAATCTAGTTATGTCATGGAATATTTTGTTTTCTCCATCTATAGTGATTGAGAGCTTTGCTGGGTATAGTAGTCTGGGCTGGCATCCATGGTCTCTTAGTGTTGGTAGAATATCTATCCAGGACCTTCTGGTTTTCAGAGTTTCCATGGAGAAGTCAGGTGTAATTCTTATAGGTTTGTCTTTATATGTTATTTGACCTTTTTCCTTAGCTGCTCTAAGTATTCTTTCTTTATTTTGTATGCTTGGGGTCTTGATTATTATGTGACGAGGGGACTTTTTTTTTGTGGTCCACTCTATTTGGTTTCTGTAAGCTTCTTGTACCTTCATTGGCATGTCTTTCTTTAGGTTGGGAAAGTTTTCTTCTATGATTTTGTTGAATATGTTTTCTGCCCCTTTGAGGTGGTTTTCTTCACCTTCTTCTATACCTATTCTTAGGTTTGATCTTTTCATGGTGTCCCATATTTCCTGGATGTTTTGTTTAAGGGATTTGTTGGACTTAAAATTTTCTTTGGTTGATGAATCAATTTCTCATAGTATATCTTCAACACCTGAGATTCTCTCTTCCATCTCTTGTATTCTGTTGGTTATGCTTGTATCTGTAGTACCTGACTGTTTCTCAGCTTTTCTATTTCCAGTCTTCCTTCAGATTGTGTTTTGTTTTGTTAATTGTCTCTTTCAGTTTTCAACCCTTGTACTGTTTGAATTGTTTCTTGCAATTTTTGCTTTGTCTTTTCATCCATTTTTTGCATTTTTTGGTTTGTTTTTTCTTCCATTTCTTGCATTTTTTTGGTTTGCTTTTTCCTCTATTTCTTGCATTTTTTGGTTTATTTTTTCTTCCATTTCTTTGAGGGATTTTCCTATATCCTCTTTTAGGGCCTGTATTATTTTCATGAAGTTGTTTTTAAGGTCATTGTCTTCTGCTTCATTTGCATTGGAATGTTGGAGTCTTGCTGGTGTAGAGTCTCTAGAATCTGGTGGTGTCATATTTGTTTTTCTGTTGCTGAGTGTGTTTTTGGATTGTCTCTTTCCCTTCTCTTCTTCTAGTAGGTGCAGAAAGAGCCCCTTACTGGTCTGGTGGTTAGGGGACCAGAGTTCCCTTTTGGTGGGTGCTAGCAAGTTCAATACTCTATTAGTTCTCCTCTTCCTGGTCCTAGTCCTGGTTTCGTGGGTGGAGTTGAAGTCCAGGAATCTGGGGTGTGTAGTCTCCTACCTAGTCCCCTGGTCCCATTGGTGGAAGAGAAGACCTGGGATCTGGGGTGTGTGGCTCCCACAGGATTGGGAGGCTCTGTGGCAGTCCCCAGGCAGGTCCCAGGCACTTGAAGGCAGGCCTGGATGTGGGGCCTTGTTTACCTGGACCCGCTGGTTCCCTGGTCTCTTTGGTGGAAGAGAAGACCTGGGATCTGGGATGTGTGGCTCCCGCCGGAATGGGAGGCTCTGTGGCAGTACCCAGGCACTGGAAGGTAGGCCCGGATGTGGAGCCTTGTTTACCTGGACCCGCTGGTCCCCTGGTCCCGTTGGTTTTGTACTCATTTTAGCACATTTTTTCTTCTTCTGGTATTTGCCATAGAGGTTCTCCAAATTTTCAGATGTGTGGTGTACAGTTTTAGATTGTAGTGTAGTTTTCTTCCTTTAACATTTTGTCTGAGTGATGGAGTTTATTTTCCTGCCCCTCTTTTCTTTATCTCCTCTCCTCTAGTACCACAGTGGCTTTCCCTTCTCTACATTTAAAATATTTGTCTACTACCTGTTACAAAGAATACTCAGTAAAAATGTTGTTTATTGATGTCAAGTATGACGGTATAATAGGCAGATAGTTGTAGAAGAGGCATATATGACTGATAAGTTAAGAACATTTTCAAGCACACCCCAAAGAAAATAGGAAGAAGTCCAGATAACTGATGTATAGGAGGAAGGGATCATAAATGCTGTTTTTAGGTAAGTGGAGCCATGTATGGATGATAGTCAATGCTATAGGAAAACAATATATGTATTTACCAGAGAGAGAGTCGCACAAACCAGGAGTTAGAAGCGTCCTGGCTTCCAGGAGAAAAGGGAGGTTCCTTTTCCTTTCACTTCCTTTTATATCTACCTGTGTCAGTTTACATGTCCCCGCCCATGAGGGCGGATAGCTTTGTGGAGTTCACTCCTACAGCCATGTTTCAGTTCTGTTGTGGAATCATCCTCACTTGCAAGTCTATACCAGAACCAGTTCAAACACTAGAAATAAATTAGAGAAGATTCACAGCATCTGCATGACTTTTATAAGGTCTTCCATATGCAGCAAATAAATATCTCCTTTAATAATATATAAATGGTGCACTATATTTAATAGGGACATGATTTTATATATGGAAGAATGCACTGTGTTGTTTTAGTATACTATAGATGAAAACAAGCCCCCACTAAATTTCTACTCCTTTTAGTAAAACAGCTTCACACTGCTTGGTTTATTTATTCCAGAGGAAATTTTATTTTCTTCTAACTCTTCTGTTTTGTAGAGTATTTACAATATGTTAATGATATACTTAAGAGTTTTTTGTTGTTGTTCTTCTTCTTCTTCTTATTTGTTTGTTTTTGGTTTTTCGAGACAGGGTTTCTCTGTATTGCTTTGGAGCCTATCCTGGAGCTCGATCTGTAGACCAGGCTGGCTTCAAACTCACAGAGATCTACCTGCCTCTGTCTCCCAAGTTCTGGGAGAAAGGTTGGGCTCTTAAGGGAAAGAATCTCATATATGTGCTAGACACCCTTCAGCTCAGTTGTCAGACAAATGTAGCTCCATGAATTGCCGCATACCTGTAATCTCAACAATCAGGAGGCTCAGACATGAGGATGAGGAGTTCAAGGCCAGCTTGAACTACATAGTGAGGCTCTTAAAAAATAACAAAATGTGTTCCATGTAGTCTTAGAACTTTGCAGTTATTCCAAAGACATTTCTGGTTACATTCTAGACTCTTTAAAATGATTGAGATTTCTTTATGGCCCAGAATGTTGTCTGTCTTGGTGAACATTCTGCACACATGGAAAAACATTCACTCTCTTGCCAAGTAGGATCTTAACACTTTAATTAGATCATACTGGTTCATAGCCTGTTAAAGTCTCCATTGTGTCTCTTGATTCTCTTTTTATTCCAGCAATTATAAAATGATGTCTAAATCTCTGGATTGTGTATTATATTTGTTCGTAGCACTGAGCTTTTGTATTGTGTATTTTGAAATTATGTTATTAGGTACATAAATTTTAAGACTTTTATGTCTTGAAGTGACCTTTTTTTTTTTGTCTTTTTCTTTTAAAGACTGGGTCTCACTATGTAGCACTGACTGACTTGAAACTCACTGTGTTGACTAAGTTAACCTTGAACTCACAGAGATTCACTTACCTCTGACTTAAAGCCTCTGAATTAAAACATGAGCAACCAGCTTTTTTTTTCTTTCATAATCTTTGATTAGAAATAGTGATGTTTACTTAAGTTGAACTACTCTGTGGTTAAATTGTTTTTAAAATTCTGCTAATATCCAAGTATCTTGTTATTGCTTTTTAATTTGTGGTTTTCAAGTACGTTTTTGGGGAGGGGTGGGAGAGTGGGTGAGGCTAGTAGATTGAACAGAAAAAATAATTTTGTAAAAGGAAAATCAAGCCAATCAACACTTAACACAGTGTAGTCATTATGAGACTGATGGTAATACTTTGGAGGGGCTTGAATAATCAAGGAAATGTCTTTCTGGGGTGACATCTGAGTCTAACTCTACAGCTGAAAATGGCAGCATGGAGAGAACTGGTCAGAAAGCATGTACCAGGGGAGGGCAACAGTGAGTGCCTTTGAAGGCTAACCCTTGCTATAATACAGAGAGAATAGGTGTGGCCAGATATGTTAGGAGAGGCCACTAATGCTAGATTATGAAAAGCTTTGCTATGAGAACTGCTGCTTTAGGTTATGAGTCTTTACCTTGTACCACCTATGTGTTGTAGGGATAACCCAAGAAGACAAATATGTATAAAGTAAGGAATTGAGACAGTGCAGAAATACTTCATAGAAAGCTCAAATAGGGAAGGGATAGAATTTTTTTTAATTTTAGAAACACTCTTATTTACATATCCATCCCCCCATTCCCTCACCCTCCCATCCTCCCATGCTTCCTACCGACCCCCTAATCATTCCCCATCCACTCTCTAGGGATAGTGAGGCTCTCCAAGAGGGATCATCAAAATTCATCACATCATTTGGGGGAGGGCCCAGGACCTCCTTTCCATATCTGGGCTGCAATAGTATCCCTGCATAGGGAATGGGCTCCCAAAGTCCATTTGTGCACTAGGGATAAACACTGGTTCCATTGATAGCTGTCCAGGCCTCCTAGCTGGCACCCACATTCAGAGGACTTGGTTCGGTCTAATGCTGGTTCCCCCGCTTTAAGACTAGGGTCTGTGTGCTGTCATTAGGTCATGTCAGCTGTTTCTGTGGGTATCTCCAGTACCATCTTGGTTCATTTGCTCATCTCTTCTCCCTCTCCACAACTGGATTCTGGGAGTATGGCTCAGTGTTTAGCTGTGGATGCCTGTTTCTGCTTCCATCAGCTACTGGGTCAAGACTCTAGGAGTGGTAACCAAGGAAGGGCATCAAAGGCAGCCTCTTCACCACTGCTTAGATTCTTAGCTGGGATTATTCCTGTGGATCTCCTACCATTTCCTCTGTGCCAGACCTCTCTCCAAACCTGTACTGGCTCCCTTTATCAATGCATCTCCTTTCTTGCCCTCCTCTATTCCTCCTCTGTCTCAGTTCTCCTGTTCTCCTCCTGCCCCTCTCCCCTTCCCATCCCTATCCCCCCTTCCCCATGCTCCCAGTTTGCTCAGGGGTTCTTGTCATTCCCTCAACCCCCAAGGGGTGGAGGAGGGTGGGAAGGTAGGATTTTACTGTGGTTGTGTTAGTAGTTTCTAATTGCTACAGTTTTATGAACTCAGCATTTTCTAGGCTCTAGCTTAGAAAATATTTGGCCTTACACACAATATTGAGCTCTTTAAGGATTTCAAGTAGGGATATAAAATTTGTGTTTTGTGTTTGTCCAAATGTTGGAAAGAAGTTAGAGAAGTAGAGATCAAACAGAACAATATTTACTTTGTATATATTGTATGTGCTAGGTTTTCAAGTAGCTTAACCTCTGCAATTTTGTTTCCTTTCATCTTAAGTGAATATAATAGTGGTTTCCATATCATAGTAGTAGAAAAATAATTCAGTGGCATATAAAGATTCAGTGACTTTAGCTGTGACAATGTTGCTGGTGGCCTCAGTAATGATAGATGGATTTTTTTATATCAAACTGAATTTTAATCATTAAAAAATTATAGGTTGTCATATTACTTATAGGACTTTAGGATGCCATTATTCAACAAAATATTAACTACCACCTTCTGTCTCCTACTATTATTTTTATTTTTCAGTTCATGGGAAAACCAGATGATGACCATTATACTCTGGATGACATGTTTGTCTCCAAAGCAGCTGAAAAAGAGCATCTTGGTGAAAAGGAAGAAAGCCAAAGGAGGAAAGCGATTGCTGAGCACCAGAGTCTTGCCACGCAGATGGCCAACTGTCTGTACTGTTTTGATAGCTCTCAGTTCCCCAAGCACCTTATTGTTGCCATCGGTGTGAAGGTAAGGAGTCAAACACTCACAGACAAAGCAGAGGTCAGTGTGTGTGTGCAGGTTTGCTCACTCTGCAGATGTTTAGGAATTTTCTATAAGTTTTTACTTACGTTGAGTTTTCAAATGTTTTTGTTCTAAGTTGCTGTAGTTCTTGGTTCTTTGCTAGACTACATATCAGTGTTTCCGTGTTTCAGCCCCTGGTGCAGGTCCTGCTGAGAATCAGGTTGTGGCTCTTCTGTTTTCCAGCTTTGACCTAGTGATTAAAGTGGATTCAGCGCTAGAATCTCCCCTCAGACTCTTAAGTCTAAAGCTGTTTTCCTTTCTTTACTTACTCCCTCATAGAATGCATCTGATTTCTCATAGACTCTGTCTGAAAACTAATTGAAGTTACTTTGTCTTGTTGATTCGGTTTTTCCCCCAAGTCTTGCAGCTTCAGGAATACAGAGATAGTCTTTGCTCACATTGTATTCTAAGCATCTTATCTTCATAGTATATCTGAGTCATTTATTCAATAAATATGTGCTGATGACTCTTCTTTACATTGTGTAAAGTAGTTTGTGGATGTAATAGGTGCCAAATTCTAATTGTCATGGAAAAGTAAGAGTCAGGTAGACTTTAAAAAATTTTTAGAAAGTTTGTTCATTTAAAGGTTTGTTTTCAGGGCAGTATTGAGATTTGAATCTAGGGCTCCATCTAGGCAAGTGCTTTAGGCAGTTACACTTCTGAAGCTTGTGTTCTATTGAAATGTAATACAGTAATCAAATTAAACATTACCCTGGTTTAGAAGGATATTGTTGTAAAATGAGGGAAAAAAATGTGGAAGATGGTATTTTGAAAAGGAGTGCTAGAAGTCTTCTCTGAGGCACCTGTGAGTGAAAAGCCTTGAAGGGAACAGAACAAGGAAAGAAGCCTGGCATGGCATACCTTTAACTCCTACAACTGGGAAGCAGATGAAGGAGATCTCTCAGATGGAGGCCAGCATGGTCTACATGGAATACAGAAAAAAACCTGGTTAAAAAGAAAAAATAAGTCTGGAGTGGATTAAGGGAGAATGAGCAGCTGAGGCTAAATGAATTAGGTTCTGGTTTCAGGAACTAGTAGTTTGGGGAACATTCATATTTATTTATTCTCTTTCTCATCAGTCATATACATATACATCCTTACATAGAATAGAAAAATAGTTGTGGGCTATAGGTGATTCACATATGTAAATAAACAAAGTTTAACCAGAGAGGTAAAGCTATCTTATACGTGTTTTCTTTCCCTTAGCTGGGATAACTCAATTTTCTCCCATAATGAGAGAAATTGCCTGATTGATACACACAATTTAGACTATCAACAAAACAACAAAAACCAAAAAAACAGGTCTCCTCACAAAGGAACAGCAATGGTGTATATTCTAAAGCCAAATGTGAATGGCCATAGCCCATGAACAGTGATTTAGGTCACCTCAAGAGCCATGTACCAATGGGCAATAATTTCTTTTCTTTTTTTTTTTTTTTTTTTTTTTTTGGGGTTTTCGAGACAGGGTTTCTCTGTGGCTTTGGAGGCTGTCCTGGAACTAGCTCTTGTAGACCAGGCTGGCCTCGAACTCACAGAGATCCGCCTGCCTCTGCCTCCCAAGTGCTGGGATTAAAGGCGTGAGCCACCAACACCCGGCCCGGGTAATAATTTATTAATGTCTTTAGAATAAAAGCCCACCAAGATGCTTTTCATATATATTAATGAAAACAACATCTGAGTAAGTTATAAAACAGCCAGGAAATCTTAGCAATCTGAGACTTCTTAGCTTTTTTGGTTGGTAGAAGTTAGTGTTCTGTTATAAATTCTGGAAGATTTAACTACTGGCCACAGGAAAGTTAGTCTGAACACAGTGGAGGGCAATAAATTGCTATAAAGGGTGAGGGTAAAGATTAGCTCAGGGTAATTTGGTTCTTGACATGCACCACTGCAGACTCCGCAACAACTGGAGCTCAGGCTGGTGCATTAGCTCTAAACAGCATAAGAGGCAGTTCTTCCAGAAACTTCCATTCCCAAGATTTATAATTGTGACTCTTTATTTTTCAAAACCTGTGTCATTTTCAGTGTTTGTAAGTGTATAGCTCCATCAGATAAAAGATCAAGTGGAATTTGTTCTTGTCTGTTCTTGGGAAGTCTTAGTTTTTGGTGTTTGTCAATGAAAACTGAGACTTGTGCTCTAAATTACCAGTTTATTAGAAGTCATTTTCTTGACATTTTAAATGTAAGTAGTATCTTTGAGAGTATTAAAAATAAAGCTGGTTCTTATAAAGAAGTCTGCCTTAATAGATACTCAGGATTTCACGGCTCTAGTCTCATCTGTTAGAACCATGGCTAAGTGACATCACCTTTGGAATTTGCCCCTAGGTTTATTTATGTTTACCCAACTTCCGGTCTCTTACTGAGGGCCACTGCCTCATAGTCCCTCTGCAGCATCTTCAAGCAGCTACCATGTTGGATGAAGATATTTGGGAGGAGATTCAGGTTAGTACTATCCTGCTCATGGTTTGCAAGGCTCATGAGGAGGTTTTGCAGATTATTTTAATAAATTTGAACAGGTTTGTGGTAATATATTGTTTATGATCTAATAAAGCTTGCCTGAAGATTAGAAAAGCAAAACAGCCAACCAGTAGCTTTTACATCTACCAAGGCTGAAATGGAGATTCTGTCTTCCCTGTGTCTGGAAACTAATCTCACATGCCCTTTGCGTTGATGATCTAATAAAGCCACTGAAGATCAGAGAAGCAAATTGGCTAAGCCACCAGAGAGCTCTCACCTCACCCAGTGCTCAGACTGAAGGGGTAATTCACCGAACTTCAGATTGCATCTCCAGACTGCACTGCTGTCCGCCAAGCCTCAGAATCCTAGACTGCTCTATGAGACTGCACTGAGTTCCTTAGTTCTGGGATTAAAGGCATGAGTTCTGTTTCTCTTTTAGACTGATTCACTCTCATGTAGCCCTGGGTGGCCTTGAACTCAGAGAGATCCATCTGCCTCTGTCTCCTTAGTCCTGGGATTAAGGGTGTGTGCCACCATTGCCCGGCTTTGATGGCTATGGATAGCTTTCCATTCTGATCTTCAAGCAAGCTTTATTAAATCATAAACAACATATCGTCACAAGTTTGATATCTTTACTTGATAACTTGTAGGTGTCTGTAGATCATCATGTTTCTATCTCTCACTACTTTTGTTTTTCTCATGTTCTCCTTGTTTTAAAATCTTTTTTACTAAGTAAACTTACAAAGTAATTACTTAAAAAAAATCAATTGGATTTCTAATTAAATTATAGCAAAAAAAAAAGTTTCAAAGACCGAAAATGTGTGGAGTCAGAGGTTGACAGGCGGCAGTTACTGTTGTTGCCCCCGACTGTAGTGACTGTGCTGCCGTACCAGCTTCTGTGTCTTCTGGGTTCTCTTCGTAGCAGACTCTGGCTGTGAGGTCAGTTGTACGAGTCAGTTACATAGTTTTATGGCTGATACTCTGAGAGATTGAAAGGCACAACGTGGGTCGAATTGTTGCTTAATTATTTCAAGACCTTGTAATGACCAAGAAAAAAAAATTAAGTTCCCTCAGCTGAATAGAGGTTTTTAGAGGACCCAAGTTAGAAACGGTAGAATGGTAAGACTTTAAAGAGCTGACAGTATATGTTTGTTAGTTTTTGCAGAATGTGGATAAAGATGCCAAAAGAGGACATATTTGCCTGCATTTTATGAAAATGTAGTCTCTTATTCCTAAGGTTGGTGCTCCCAGAGTTCATGGGACAACTATGTTGTTCTGTCAAATGCCAAGCATAATTAGCAACACAGACAGATTATTTTTGATGTGAAAAAAAATTGCGAAGTGTTAGTAACAGTAGGTAATTTACAGGGCTTTTCTGAGGTATATTTAAAATTTTATGAAAAACTGATATAACTTAGAATGAAATACAGTACAAAGAGCATTCAGTTACAAGAATCTTGTGTGTATGTTGTATGTTTCTGTGAGGAATTAACATAAGTGGTGGAAAGCCTCAAGGTGGATACCATTTATTCACTCCACTAGCAAGTAGACACATGAACATGACATTTCAGGCGCTGTGGGGAGTGAAGAGGAAAGGTACCCAAAGGTACACTGTTTTCTACTACAGGCTACATTCTTGTTTGCAGACTTCAGGGAACCAGAGGTATTATGAAAAACAAAGAGGGAGGAAAAGCCAAATTGTATGCAAATAATGTCATTGTGGTTGTTGTGGAAGTAGAAGCCTCATTACAGATTACACGTGAATGGAGAATGGCATGCGGGCACATCTGTTCCAGTGGGGCTGAAGAAGCACAGTGTTTTCATTTCACTTTCAAATATGTGTGACACTCAAATAAATTATACTCTGGAAACTAGTCCTCTATTTGTGTTTTTATTTATTAGGTATATGTTGAATGTTATTTGACTTAACACAAAATATTGTTTGAAAATGCAGGAGGTCTTTTTCAGTATTTTCTTTTTAAATAACACTGGATTTGACCTTGGATCTTATGTTTGGCAGAAAATGTAAAGATACTATCATCAAAGTGTACTTGAATAACCACAATTGCAAATGAGAAATATCCAAATTGTGTGGTATTTTTATGCTGAGCTTGAAGAAAGTTTTGCCTTCAGTGCAATTGATCATCTCAAATTATTTCATCTAAGCAGTGCTTTTTGAGATTAAAAGCTGATGTGGAGAAGTTGTTTAATATATGTCTGTCATCTTTTTCCCCTTCCTCTAGATGTTTAGGAAATCATTGGTAAAGATGTTTGAAGAGAAAGGGTTGGATTGTGTCTTTTTAGAGTCTAATATGGGCATGAAGAAGCGTTATCATATGGTTTATGAGTGTATCCCTCTTCCAAGAGAAGTGGGTGATATGGCTCCCATCTATTTTAAGGTATTTATAAGCAGTTTTTGTGTATATTCTTATTTTCTACATTCATTTTTTGGGGAATATATTTGTAGTAATGTAACAAATTTTACATTAAAATGGGATTAAGCATAAAATATTTTAAAATCATTTCAGTATAAAGAATTTTGAACTTTTTGTTTAAGGAGGTTTTCTTAAAAGTATAAATAATCTATCAATAGCGACTTATAGTTTCTATTTTAATGTCTTTAGTGAAATCATTGTTTTAACATGAGGCACTTTCAAATCATAACTGTAGAAAAGTGACCTCATGCAGTTGTAAATAGAGAATGATAACCTATCTGATATATTTAAATTGGATTTAGTTGAGTGTTGATTTCACCTTAAAATGTAGCTAAAAAATGAAAAGAATATTTTATAAATAGTACTTATACTTGTAAAGAGAAGCTTTTTCCTTGTGAGGAGCCTTCCCGCCAGCCTGGTTCTAGAGCCGCATCAGTCCCAAATAAACACAGGAGGCTATATTAATTATGAAGCTGTTGGCCTTGCTTGTCTCTTACTGATTAGCTCTGCTTTAAGTAATTACCCCATAATTGTTATTCTAAGTATGTCTCTTACTGGAGAAGAGTTCCAGGCTCCTACCCCATGGCGTTACATCTCGAATCTTCTTGTGTTTCTCCTACCCAGAGTCCTTCTGGACTCCTAGTCCCTCCTATCTAGATTCCCTATTAGCCAGACAGTGCTTTATTGACAAATGCACAGGACTTCCCCAACGTATACTAGTTAACTTAAAAAGTCTTAAAGCTCCATTTCTGTGTATGTTTCTCTCTATTTTAAAAAAGTAGACTTTAGTTTTGGGAGCAATTTTTCTCAACATGTTTACTTCTAGCTGTATGGTTAAAGTAGTTTTCAGTGCCCACAAATAATGTACACCCCTTTTGTGTTTAGAAGAAGAATAGTAAAATTAAATGAATCTGAGTAGATAATTATAAGTACAAATATAAATTTGTGACATTTTATACTCACAGATCATGTTCTATCTTAAATTGCTTAATCTTCTCAAGGATGTCTTTTTGTCACATGAATTTGAGCTGGTCACTTTAGAGTTAAGAGTAAAAGAATATTGTCTATGACTCAAAGTTGGATTTCAAAACATTAAGTAGTTCTAGTTTTAAGTTGTCTAGTTAAGGCTTTCACCCATTCATAACAACAGTCTGTCGTATGCAGTGAACCCTGCATTCACCAAAAAAACAAAAAACAAAACCACAAACCTGTCTCTTCTTGTTTGCTACTCTATTGATTTTTTGGGGGGTGTTGGTTGTTTTTTAGAAAGCCATAATGGAATCTGATGAAGAATGGTCCATGAATAAGAAGCTGATTGATTTATCTTCAAAAGATATTAGAAAGTCTGTGAGTGTTAACTTTTTCTAATAGAAGAAATAGTGAATGTCTACCTCTTGGTTGTGAATTAGGCCTATCTGGTTTAGAAAATGCTCATTTGTTTGTAGGGGTATTTTATCTTTGCAAATAAACTTTCTTCCTGATCTTCAGCCTCCTGCCCATTTACTCCCCATCATTGGCTGTGGTGGCGATTGTATTCTGCTGTGACAGCATCTCAAGAGGACATTTTTGTCACTGGTATTCCAAGGAAAGAAACAATTTATATCGGCTCCATTTTGAGTTTAGAACACTCTCACTGTTTTCTCTGTCCCTGCTCTCTTCCCACTCCATTAAAAAAAAAAAAGTGTGAGCGTGTGTACATCCATGTCTTTACCTTCTACTGTGTTTTAGAGAGGATCTCTTATTTGCTGCTGCATACCCCAGGCCAGCTAACAGAAACCTCCAGGAATTCTCTTGTTTCTGCATTTAATCTTGCCACAGGAACCCTGAGATTATGGATGTATGCTACCACATCAAGCTTTTTTGGGTTCTGGGGATCCCAACTCAGGTCCTTCCACTAGTGTGGCAAAAACCTGCTGAGCCATTTCTCTGACCCCAAAATCATTTTTGTATAGAAGTTTCCTGCTCCATTCCTAGAATATAGTAGTTGCTTTAGATTAGATGTTTACCACTTCTTTGGAGACTTGTTGAAGGATGTATAGTTCAGTTTTCAATTTTAGGTCGACTTCTAGATGCAATATAGTAACTACTATAGTCACTATTCTTTTGTAGAAATAGAAATTAAATTCAATAGAGATTTTAAAATAACTCTTCTGTAAATCTTCATTGTTCACTGTTTACCAGCTCTATTCTAGGCATGCTCTGTGTAATAAATCAGAACAGAGAAGATACCTGGTCACCTTAATGGAGCTGTCAGTGCAGGCTGTCGGTTCATTCCCCATGCTAAAACCAGTCTTCTATACAGAGATTTTTACAAATACATCTGGCTGTTGCCGCTGGAGGGTTTTCATGCTGCTAAGGATTCAATAGTATATCAGAGACTGGATGACCTGTAAACCCTAAGTAAAGTATTTTGGCACGGGGCCTTTTTACAGAAAATGTTTGCCACTGGTGTTCAAGTAGATACTACTAGAATATTTTCCCTCCATTTCTGCTTTTGGAAAGCCAGACATCTAATCTAAAACACACGGATGGCTAGCATTCCCTGTCACACTGAAAACCAGTTCAAAGGTGCATATTTCATAGAACTAGTTAAGGTACAGTTTTAACTCAGCGGTAGAGTGTTTTATCTTCAGTCTTTTTCTGTTCCCTCCTAGAAAACTGGACCAGAATTTTAACAAGAAAAAAAAAATCCTAAGTGTCTTGTTTACTTGTTTTCTCTTCTTCCTATTGGCTCATTAAAATAGTGTTTAATATATTTTGTTCCTTAAACCATAATTTGTTACTCAAAATTCGTTCATAAAATTGTAATGACAGCCAATGTATTCCAAGTAGAAATTTTAAAAGAAATGTATTATTCCACATTGCTACTGTAAGTGTAGCTTTTGGGCCATCTAGTGCTTAACCTTGCTTTTCTAAAACCTAGACTTAGTACATGAACTAAGTAGCCGGATGCTCTTACTAACTTAACTGATGTTGAGAACAAGAAGCAGGTGTGGCTCGTATATGAACAGGAGTCAGCCGTCAGCCTGTGAAGGTGGACACCCTTGAAGCAGTAAGGCTTCGTAGAATAACCCACCCACCCCCAACCGCTCTTTAGAAGTAGATGGGGGAAAAGACAGATAACTTCATGGTGCATCTTAATGGCCATCTGGGTGGAATAGAGAGGAGAACTTAATACCAGAAGAATTCTAAAAGAACCATCTTTCAGAGTAATACACTTTTCCAGTACCTTTTAAAATGATGTGTTTCAGGACATGAGGTGAATAAACACTGAGTCACTTTAACATTTTATATTAGGAAGGAAGCCTTTAAAAGGGTCTTCTAAATATTTTGTGGCCTTAATATTTTCAAAAGGTTTTTGCTTTTCTCTTTGGAGTTAGGGGTCATTTTTTTTTTCTCTCCAAGTACATTCATGGTTTTCAATAGAGGTTCATGTAGTTGTACTTTCTTCTGATTCTTTGGAGTTTTTAGTTTCCTTTGCCATGTGAGTATAAGTATCCCATTTCTAGGGTCTTTAGATTTCTTGCAGTGTGATGCCAAGCCCAGTGTTAGGATTAGGGTTTCAGACAGAATGTGATGTAAACTGGTCAGAGTACTCAGTGCAGAGGAATCATGTGATAACAAAGAATCTTTCAGAAAAATGGGCACCCTTATTATTTTTTTTTTAAGTAAAACTGTTGCATTGAGATTTAAGGAAAATTCTTGTCAACTAAAAAAAATTAGGGTGAATTTTATGGGAAATATAGTCAGTATTTAGGGCTAATTGCTTTTTAAGTAAGAAAACAGTTTTTCAAGGGAAATTTGAGTTAACCAGAGGTGTAGATACTTTGAGGAAGTTAGCATCACTATTGAAATCAGAGGGAGAAATCCAGACTGAAAAGCCAGACATGTAAAACAAGTGCATTTCCACTGAGCCATTTCCCCAACCTTAGTTTTGCTGTTTCTTATTAAGTACATGCTCAGTGGTCTCCCAAGCCAGTGAACTGTTTATAGCTAAGTCCTTGAACTTGAAGCCCTCCTACTTCAGCCTCCAGAGTGACTTTGACTATAGGCTTGTACCATTAGTTCTAGAGAAGAGAGGCATTCTTGTCTTCTCAGTTGATAGAAGCTACCTGTATCTATCTATTGCTTGTGGAGGTCCCTGCCTTCAAAATGAAGAGTTAGGTATCTGCCAATGTTTATAATTCAGGCCTACTGCCTTTTGTAATTATACTCATGATTGCATTTATCTCAGGATCACCATTTCATTTCAAGACTCTTAGCTCGTTCAAACTTTTAATGTCCCTTTTGCCATGCAGGGTAGCTTACTCAAGGAGTCGACATATTCAGGACCCATTATTCTGCTTACCAGAGTACAATATAAAGAAAAAGAGTGCTGGCACCATGCATTTTTTCCAAGTTATCAAATGCTGCATGCCTGATTACCTAGTCAGGTGGCACAGTTTCCCATGGAGCCTTCTTTCATATTGTCATTGAATAACTTTGTACAGAGAGTTTTTGGAGAGGAATCCAAGATAGAAATGAAAGTAACAGTCTCATATGCTAAGATTAGAGCTAGGAACTTAAGTATGTGTCATTCTCTTGGCTGTTCCCAGCAAACCTCAGAATGTTTCTTGTTTCTCCTGAGACTCAAATGTTCCAGAATTGTCTGATATTACATATTCATAAGAATCAGAAATGTGCTTAAAACTGAGGGTGGGGTTGTGATTATGTCACTAGACCTAAGATAAATGATAAATGGGTGTTTATTGGGGACAATTACACAGGAAACTACAAAGAACCGCTGGAGCATTTCCTTGCTCTTCCTGGCGGATCTGCTGACCCAACAGAATATGCCAAGGAAAGCCATGCTTCAAGTTCCTCTCTTTCCACACCAAGGGGTGTGGCCGCTGTTTCAGGTCCATAGACCAGATCTCTCTGTTTTTACTTTATTTTTTTCTCAGTTGTCAATACATGACTATTATCTAAAAATATAGAACTAGAAAAATGTGAATACATGAAGCAACATTTTTGTAGACTGATTTTTTTAACTTCCTACTTTTTCCTGTTAAATGAGTAGCATTTTGTTGTCAGTAATTGTATTTGATTTATAATGATTAAAGAGGACTTCTCTGTTTCTACCATATAGTACTGCATACTCTAAGTTGTGCCTTCCTAAGTACTTAATACCAATTGTGTGTAAGTCTTATTGATTTTGAGATGGCATTAGAGGGGTAACTTACTGTGTATTGACCGACCTCGATAATTTCTAGTGATAAAAGTTGGGACATAGAGGAAAAAGTTACAAAGATTAAAAAAATCTGCCCAATTAAAAAAAATAACAAGAAATTATAGCTCTTTTCAATCAGAATGGAGATTAAAACTCTTCCCTCATCTCTCTGTCCCTCTGTCCCTCTCTCCCTGTGTGTGTGTTTGTTTATGTGTAGAAAGGGAGGAGTGGACAGATAAGAGAGAGCTGATCTCAATGTATTTTGAAATTAACTTGGTAAACTAGTTAATGAGATAAATAAAAATTATAAATTTATTTACATTTAATAAATATATTGAAGATTTTATGTGTATAAACACTGTCACAAATATATAATCGTGCTCCCTCTTCTAAGTAAAATGTTAACCAAACATACTTTTATTTGTGTAATCATAGAAAAATTGTTCCTTGGCTCTGTAAAAATAATTTGAATACCTTTTTTCTACTGTTTCCAAGAACAGAAAAGTGTTTGCTTTGATTGTGAATTGCTAAACTTGATGAAGCTCTGTCTGGCTGAAAGGCTATCAGAATGAAATCTTTTCCTTGGAATGTTAGGTCATTGGAAGTTTGTCATGTACATTCTCCTGATGGATGATTAGTTCTTGTGGTAGAGAATTGGAGAAGGCATAGCTTTCCTAATTCATATGTAATTTGTTTGTTTACTTAGGTGCCCAGAGGCTTGCCTTACTTTGCTGTAGACTTTGGTCTTCAGGGAGGATTTGCCCATGTCATTGAAGATCAACACAAATTTCCTCATTACTTTGGAAAGGTATACTCAGAGATTTGATTAAAAACCCTGAAGTTTAGTGGTTTGGTTAATACTTTCACAAGGGTGTGAAAGAAAGAAGTTTGTGTCACAGAATTTGATGAGTTGTTTATTATACAAGTTTGACAGAGAAGGGTGGGGGTTGGGGGTAACAATAAAAAAAAGTACCAGAATATTCATGATCAAGTCAGAACCATCATTGTGTAATGGACATTTTTGACAGTGTGCCCAGTCTCTGTAACTATAATGTTTTCTTGACTTTGGAGTCAGGCAGCTTTGTCCTGAAAAGTTGTGACATTTGCTAATGTTTATTAAGGGCGTACAGTGTGCCCATCTCCTGTCCGAGCAGTCATCTAGTGCTCACAGTAACTCTGTTGTCTAGATTTTGTTCTAACATTTGCTGTGCCGATAGGAAAACTCTAAATTGCAGAGAGGTTATGTGATTTCCCTAGGGTTATGTGCTAAGTGAGGCAACCCAGGTACCACAGGTGATGGTTAATGCAGAGAATAAATGGTGTTAGCTCTTCATTTGTCGTTACGGTATAATCCAGGAAAAAAACTCATTTCACATAGTTAGGTTCTAGGCCCATATGAAAATCCCTTTCATTTGGATTACCAGTAGTTTCTTTCAGGGGAAAAAATGCCTTCATAAGAATGTATTTCTTAAATTAGAGGTCTACATACTAAGTATCTAAATTCTTTTCAGGAACTGGAATGAAATTAATGTAGTGTTTGAAATTGGCTCAGGCCTTCTCGTATCATCCCTCTGTGCTTGTGCCTCTACAGAGACAGGCCTTGATAAACTCTGCTGAGAGTTGGTCATTGCCTACCATGCTTCCCTCTCTGGCCTACTCTCAACTGCCTGACATAATAGTCTACAATGTGCCAAGAGAAAATGGCTCCTTTCACTTCAATCCAGAACTCACTATGCTGCTGGCCTTAAATGAATTTTCAAATTCCAAAATCACATGCATTTTTTAATTATTGCTTAAAGATTCTCACATAGCCCAGGCAGGTCTTGAATTCACCACATAGTTGACTATGTCCTTGCACTCCTGATCATCCCGCCTCCACCTCCTGATGTGAGTTTCCAGGACTGTACCATTGTGCCTGTTTTTATATAGCCTTGGGGATCAAATCCACAGCTTCATGCATGTCCAGCATGCATTCTATGACTCTACCAACTTAGTTGTGTCCTGTCCCTTGTTTGTTTGAGAAGTTTGCAGAGTCTACAGAATTAGCAACAACAAATAAAAACAAAAAGCGAAAACCCCAAAACTTTGTTTTCACTGCTCTGAAAAATCCTGTTGGTTCCTAGAGATTTTTAACTGTTTAAAGCTCTGGATTCATAGTCTTAAAAATATGTTTCTAGAGGAAAGGACACCACTATGACCCATTGTTTAACATTTTAAATTTTTATTGGAAGAATTGCCTCCCTTCAACTATTACTCATTCATTTCCCCATGCCTCAGAGCATGCTTTTCAGGAAGTACTTTGGATCCTCCTTTGACTTGGTTCCCCAGAAATTATTCAGAGAACAATGGAAAACGGTCTCTTTTGCAGTAAGAGAATGAGAACTCATCACTCACCTTGCACCATCACATAATGCATGCAGTGGTCTAGAGGCAGTTTCAGATGGACACATAGACTACCCTTCTCAGACTGTACTCTTTAGGTGGATTAATGCCAGGAAACTCTTGCACAAATCTGAGTTTATCCATTTTGTCCTGAGGTCATATACAGAATACTTGCTTAATGATGGGCGGTTCACTTCTCTTATTTATCCAACAAGTAGGACATTTGTTTGTTTTAAATGTCTTATGATCTTTGCCAGCTCCCTTTTCCTACTGTATATGAGACTTTATTATTCTGGCTCTCACTACATTTACATGTTCTCTTATGAGCTCCCTATTGACATATTAGTTATCTTTATGAGCAAGGTAATTAAATATCACTTTCTTCCTCCTTTTTGCTACCATTAGATAGATACACTAATGAGCAAGCAAGCAGACAAAAGACAAATTGCTTCACAAGAGATGCCACAATTACTCTAAGCATTACAGAGTTTATAGATAAGATTGGAAATAATATTTATTTTGCTTGAAACTAATATGTAATATGTATACATTGTCACAAAGAACAATTTATTATTCAATAGCAGAATAAATGAGTAGTTTGATTCCTAACTGCAATGTTTATACATGTATATATTCATATTCTTCTTACTCTTTACAAGGAAATCATTGGTGGTATGCTGGATCTAGAGCCTAGACTGTGGAGGAAGGGCATCAGAGAAAGCTTTGAGGACCAGAGGAAGAAAGCCTTGCAGTTTGCTCAGTGGTGGAAACCATTTGATGTCACCAAAAGTAAAAGCTGTTAAGTGTATCCGGCATGTGTCATTTCCATTCAGTTTATGTCTACAAGCAACTTTGTCTTGGCCCCTTGGGAAAGCAGCAGCAGCAGCTGACCATTCTAGTCGCTGGCATCCATGTTAGGTCAACATTTTCTTCCTCAAGGCTCCGGGGGACTTAGTTTGGGTGATTGTGGAATAACAGCAAGTGTTTCAGGATTATCAGTTCTCATTCCTTTCTGCATCTACTACTTATGGGTATTCCAAATTACTTGGCTATGCTAGAAAAGGACTTGTCTCCAGAGGTCTAGCAAGGCTCCAAGGGAAACTGGGTCTTATTTCAGATAGAGTCTGTCACCTAACTTTTTTGTGATTTTTAAATAAAACTAGATGTATTCAGTACTAAGTGAAATTTGTTTTCATAGTTTTATGGAAGAGTTATTTTTCTTTTTTTTCCTTGTAGCATATAATATCATTATGTATTACCTTTGTTTAAAAAAGTACTAAAGAATCTAATGATAATAAAAAATATATAGTTGCAAATTTGTTTTTATTTTGGGACCTTTAAATAGTCTGAATTTTGGTATTCTCAAAAATAATTGTCCTAAAGAATGCAATTCTCAGTTGTTTGGGTTTCATGTTAAGTTAAAATCTGTAGCCAAATGACTGTATTGGAATTTTTATGTTGTCACAAATATTAAATAATGTAAGTATCCAGAGAATGTTCTTTTTTTCCTGCTTGATTAAAGATACTTAAGTTTTATTGTTCTCATTTCATCTTGAGAAAACCTGTTTTTATAAAATATGTGTTATAGTAACTCTTTTTTAAACATGTTTTTATAAAGTCAAAATGTGGTATTTTATTATAAAATATAGTTCCTATTAGTGTGAAGTTACTCCAGAGTAACTCATTATGCATTTATTTTAATGCCAGACTGTCACTGTTTCCATGTATGTTCCTTGTATGTTACAAAAGGCAATTGGTTTTTGTTCTTTTCGAATTTCACAAATAATGGTAAAGCTTAGTGGCTTCAATTTTCAGTGCTTATGAATTACATCTAAGTGTGTATGTGTGTATATATAGTAGAAATGTGACTGTAATATAGTGTTTTCAAACTATTGGCTTTGTATCAAGTCTTAGATGACACTAAAACTTTTATTTTTATAATTAGTGAGTTAAAACATTTGTTTATAAAGTCCTGTATTATGTTGATTATTCAAAAAATATAATTTTTTAACTTTAATTCAACTGAATCTGTAGCAGGAGTATCCCAAATGAATTCCTCTTTGTCCTGACTCCATTTATTTCTTATGCACAGTTAATTTCTCATAACCTCAGTGACTTGCAATAATAACTATTATCTTGTATCTATATTTGGGACTTTCAATGTTTTGTGTGGTGATATTTTGTTTGTGAGATATCAAATAAAACTTGCCTGAAGATCAGAGTGCAAAATTAGCCACAGCCATAGAGGCCAGGCAGAGGTGGTGCACACTTTTGATCCGAACTCACAGGCAGATGGATCTCTGAGTTCATGGCTACCTTGGACTACATGAGAGTGAATCAATCTAAAAGTGAAACAGCTCACACCTTGATTCCATCACTTGGGATGATGTGCTTTCAATCCCAGCACTTGAGAGGTGGAAACAGGAGTGATGTGGTTGGGCAGAAAGAAGAATATAAGGCAGGAGGAGACAGGAACTCATTGCAGTCTAAGTGAATCTGAGGAGCACTGCAGTCTGAGGATTCGTGGAGACAAGTTCTGTATGAATTTTGTTGGATTGGATGTGATGGACAGGGATGGATTATGGCACTCAGGTGCCAAAGAATAGTGAGTGTTACAGCTCGGATGGAAAGGTATTCTGGCAATCGGGAGCCAAGGAAAACCACAGGTCACAGTAAGCATAACAGTTTACAGCCCTGTTTCAGGGAAAGGCTTCTCCAGTGTATCAGATCTGCTCCAGCAGGAAAGAGTTTCCCAGCAAAGTTGTTACACTTCAGCTCCAGTTCTGCTGAGAGTGTAACAAATTCAGTTGGCCAGGGGAAGGTTTACCCCATCAAAAAGTGTTACAGTACTGTACTGCTGCAGAAAAAAAAAAAAAAAGGTCTCAACCAAACTTCATTCAAGAGATTTATTGGGAGGAAAGAACCCAGGAGAGTGGCTGCCCTCTGCCAGTACTTCTGCTCAGGGATTGGTTAGTTTTCTACACAGGGTTAGGGTCAGATTTGGCTCTGGTTTCAGGGCCAAAGTGTGTTTCTTTCTCTGGTCCTTTTTAGCATTTTTGGCTCTAGATTTAGGGCCAGGGTGCATTTCACTGGTGGTGTGTTTCTTTGGCACTGGTTTCAGGGTCAGGGTACATTTCTTTGGTTCTAGTTGCAGGGCCAAAGTGTGTTTCTTTGGCTGGACCCTTTTCCCTACGGGTTCACCCCTTTCAGTCTGAGGTAGAGGTAAGATCTAGTGGTTTGGCTTCTTTGCTTCTCTGATCTTCAGCTTTAACCCCAGTCTCTTGTTTTTTTTTTTATTATTCATGCTTTTATTATTATTTGCCTTTACCTTATGATGTCTAGGTCCTTGGCTACAGTGGCTCAAACATCTGGAGATGATGGGAGTTGTTTGTTGAGGGCTTTTGTTCTCTATACAAGAAATGATGTCTTTGGAATATTTTGTGTGGCTTTGTCACTTGCATATCTAGTGTCTGGGCTGGGGAACAGCTGGGGATTTCTGATGTCACTTTCTCTATACATGATATCTTCAGGATAGTTGGATTTCTCCTCTTCTTTAAAATTCCCCCAGACTAATATTCCAAAGGAAAGCTTCAAGAGGTGGGTTGTGGCAGAGTCCAGATACCAATACAACTTGATATTTCCGTATTATGTTTGTCAAACTTGACATAGAACCTACCTATATTTAAGAAGATGGATAGGGTCCAGGAAGCTTTAATCCCAACACTCAGGAGACATGCAGATATATCTCTGAGAGTTCAAGGTTGACCTGGTCTGTATAGTGATAGTCAGGACTACATAGAGAGACCTTTTCTCGGAAAAGAAAAAACCAAACAAATGAAAGGGGGAGGCCATATTCTTGCCTTTGATAGAAGAAATGTGAAATAATGTGTGGCCATTTTTAATTCACTGCATTTTGTTCTCTGTCTACAAATTTATTTCTTGTAGTATATTCAAATCCTCGTTACAGTGGGACTTTAGGCTTTGGATTTTATTTCAGGGTCTCGTTTAAAGCAAGATGGAGATAAAGAACAATTGAGGTGTTTTTCCATTCATTCTGAAGACCTGTATACTCAAGAGATAAATTATCTGCATTCTCCCCACACACATGTGATACTAAGTCTGCAGCCATGAGAGAAGCATATGTACAATCACTGAAAAGGAAGGGAGGCAGGCAGGAAAGTTGTCAGTCCATATTCTCTAGTGAGTCTGATTAAATTGGACATATGTTACTTTTTTCTGTATTAGAATCTTAGTCTGCTCTTGAGAAGAGTCTAGCTCTTTCCTCTGTTCTTGGTACTCTTCACTTAGCTGAGTTGGCCATTCATTTGCATTAGAAATTGCTTAAGAATTATACCTGGAGACAAGATATAGTGACCATGTTGCCCTTTTCCCTAAAATCAGTAACAGACAACATAAACCATGATTTCCAGGTAAACCATGATTTCCAAAATCAGAATCATAGGACAAGGTTTGGTGATTGCTGAGAGACAGGAAATAAGTAACATGACTCCTCTAAGTCCTGTCCTATCACTTTGAGGATGTGCACAAGGTGGGGGATCCAGGAAGAGCCTGATGCATCATTCAACTTTAAGAAAAACAGTTTTGAGCACAGAGGGATCTAGACCACAAGGCAGTTATGGTTTCTTTTCCCAGCCAGGTCCCTCTACCCTTCTGCCCTTCTCAGTTTCAAATAAGCACACAAAGACTATATTAATTATTAAATTGTTGACTAATAGCTAGGGCTTCTTATTGGCTAGCTCTGTCTTAATTATTAATCCATATCTACTAATCTATGTATTTCTACGTGGCCTTATCTTACCAGAGAACACCTGGCATGTCCTATCCTCCCAGTCTCCACAAGGTGACTTTCTGTGGTCTTTCTCTGCCTCCCTCTCCCAGTATTCTCCTTGTCTCCTAGTTCTGCCTATCTTCCTGCCTCTACTGGCTATTGGCCAAATAGTGTTGTATTCATCAACCGATAAGAGAAACATATATACAGAAGGACATCACCCATCAGGAGAATATGCTGAACAGAGATCTGCAGGGAGCCATACTTTAGTGTATATAATAAGGGGGCTTTCACTGGCTAAAGATTAATCTACTTAAGCGTTAGCAGCATTATTTTTATCTCCTAGAATATAAAAATGTATGATTAACTGGGATTGGGGAGACAGAATGTTAGCATATAGTATGGAATAATAGCTGTGGTAAATTGAAAGTAACGCTTCAAGTCTAAGTGCTGATCTACTGTTGAGAAACGGATCTTAGAAGAGGCAAAGCTATCAAACTATTTCCAACCAACTTAATTGCACTGTATAACAAAGCTCAAAAGCAAAAGAAAAAAATGCTCATGAGTCAGAACATGTTGAAATGCCCAAAGACCAGTAAAAACAACAGCCGTTGAAAGAACCAAAATAGCAAATGCTATTAATGTGTACTATTTAAACACAAGGTAATGAGGAATTTACAGCCTCTAAAGTCACAAAGACTAGTGAAGATGTGTAAAGGGAGTGATTAGAAGTGTGTACTTGTTAGGGAAATATTATTTTAAGGTGTGTGACTTTAGTTTATGCTTGTTTATACTTGTTTAACTGTCAAGCTGTGATACTGTGCTTGTTAAAAACACTTGGTGGTCTTCATAAAGACCTGAACAGCCAATAGTGAGGCAGGAAAAAGGATAGGCAGGACTGCCACGCCTGCTGCACCACCTGTATCCGAGAATGTGCGGAGGGTGTCCGGGATTGATGACACAGAGACCAGTCTGTGGTTTAAAGAAAACTTTAAGCAGGCCCAAAGAAGACTCAAGAAAGCTTCCCAAGAAAGGCTTCTCTCAAGAAAAGCTTCCGCTCCCTTTCCTTACCCCTGGCTGGTTATATGCCCCTGACACCAGAGTCTGCGGCAGGGGGTCAGGAAGAGGTGGCTAGCCATTGGAAAGATCAAAGTCAGTGTTCCCTTGAGCGAGCCCTTATGGGGAACTTAATGTTCCGGTAAACATTTCTTAGAGCACCGGATTGTTTTTAGTAAACATGTTTTTAGTAAACATTGTCTTACAGCTGCCTGCTCCCAGGCTGATGGGGTAGTGGGTCTCTGGACAAGGTCTTTTGTTCCCACACAGGACTGGCAGGCACAAGGAGAAATGAGAAGAGAAAAGAGAGCAAGAGAACCAGAGGAGGAGTTGAGGAGCCAGCCAGCTACCCAGCCATGCACACAGCAGTCCACAGAGTAAGATTTACAGAAGAAAACAGGAAAAGCCCTCCAGAGGCAAGAGGTAGATGGTATAACTTAAAGTTAACAAAAGCTGGCTAGAAACATACCAAATTAAGGTCAGGCACTCATAACTAAGAATAAACCTCCATATGTGATTCATTTGGGAGCTAGATGGCAGGTCGCTTAAAAGAGAACAATCTTCAATTACCACTGTTTGTTGCTCTGTTCTTGAAGTGTTAATAAATATACATGTTGGTAAGTTAAAAGTTAAAGAAAACCTTGAGATTAAGAGAAAAACATATAGTTGAAAAAAATCAATAAAGAAAGTAAGATATATTAGAAAGGGGTCGACTTGACCCCGACTCACCAAACAACTGTAAGCCTGCTGAGATTGCTGGGGCACTCGCTCTCCCACTCAGGGCAGAAGTGAGCTCTGGCCCCTACCTCTGGCCCCACTTATGCATGCCCACTCTGAGATCTCCTGGCCTGGAGAATGTAGGCAGGTCGATTTGCCGCCAGCTCACCAAGCAACCTCAAGTCTGCTGATGGCACAGTCCTAATCCAGTTTCCACACACTGGAAGAGGAAGTGCCTCAGACCCACCTTCACCCACTGTTAGACCCATTGGAGTATTGGACCTGCTTTCACCCACAAGAAGACGTCCTTGGACCCATACCCACCAGGAGAGGAAACTACCCTACCTGTATTCACTAGAAGAAGAAATGGGAAGGCAACAATATAAGAACACATTCAACAACAGAAAAACCAATATAACACCACCAGAGTCTAGGGACTCTACATGAGCAAAACCTGAACATCCCAACAAAGATGAAGCAGAAGACCATGACCTTAAAAACAACTTCATGAAGATGAAATGAGAAAATCTTGTAAAGAAATGGAAGAAAAGACAAACCAAAAATTGCAAGAAACAATTCAAACAGTGCAAGGCTTGAAAGCTGAAATCAGGACAAAACACACACAGTCTGAAGGAATGATGGAATTAGAAAA